CCATGTAAATAACGGACCCTCCACTAATGCAGTGTTGCGCAGTGCACCTTTAAAGGGTTTATTAACGTGAAAAAAATTTGAAAAAAGCGAAATGCAACTCGCGACTCAAAATTTGCAAGCAACTTTGAAAAAAAAAAAAAAGCCCAAAGTCGCTATAAAGAAGCAAACTTGGCAACTATGGCAGAGGAGCAGAGAGGAGCAGAGAGGCAGGGCTGGGTTGGGACGACTAGAGAGGATCAGGGGGAGGTAAGCAGGAATTAATGAGCATTAGAGCATTAGGTAAGAATAAGTCCCACCTTAAATCCCCAGGGATTCCTAAACAACTCCAGCAGCACCTGTTACATATGAACGAGGAAGCACAGGGAGGATATTCCCACATAATGGAGGTGTTTTGTAACCAGTGCCAGGTGGGATTAGCATTACACTAAACCACTAATGTAAGAGCAATACACATGCATATGGGTTAGTTAGAAAAATACTTCTGATTTGTCATCTTATGTGTAATTCTCTCAGTACATTGCTGTATGATCCCTGTGACCTATGAACTTAAATTCAGTTGTAAAAGTTAGTAAAAGGTTTGTTTGACCCCAGGTACCAGCACTGAAAACAGCTGTAGTGTATCCCTCTGAATGAAGACTGACACTTGAACTGGAAATTTTTAGATTCAATGGCAATAAATCCTCCAATCTGCCATAAGAGCTAAAAAGAATACAAAATACAGGGTGTAAATAGGCATACACAAAACTCAACGCAAGTTTGATTATTATTTACATTCATCTTGACAACATCATTCAACAACGATAAAAACTAGAGACACAAAGTTATTGAAAAGAAATATTTACATCAGTAACATACCTTTGTGCCTCTTCAGAGGGGAAGCTAAACAAAGACATAGAAAATGCCAAAAAATATTTGTGTATACATTTACTCCATATAACGTTTTTCCCTTCTCGCTGTCAAGGTAATTAAACAAAAATAAACCCTTCAAAAACAAAGTGCTAAACATAAACGCGCAAGTTAAATGGTTAACAATAGAAAATAGTGCAATATAAAAATAATAATTAAAAATGTCACAGGAGAGTTTAGCCAAGACAAATCATACTATAGGTTATTTACAACAGCTATAGAGTCCTCAGCCATGTCTATCCGTGGGTTTCAGAAAATGAAAAACTGGGTGTTGATGATGGGTTATGATTGGTCTTTAAATAGTCAATAAAACAGAACAAAGTGATATATTTGATACTTATGAATATAATATTTAATAATCTAATAAAATAATGGTTGAGTCACAGAACGACAGCCAGATTCCTGCCAGTTTGCTCCAGAGAAGATGTGTACTGTAATACAAAAGTACAACATCAGACCTATATTTTTATAACTCAAGCCCCTTTCAGAATTGACACTGTAATTAGTTCAATCCACCTGTTGCTTGCTGAAATCTGTGCTAAAAAGAGTCTGATTTAAGCACAAACAACATTCTGACAGAGTTTACAAAGTCAGAATAATACAATGCAGGACTATTTCCTCGCAAAGAGTACATGCAGTGATTTCTGATCTATTTTGCTGTGGGCTGTTTTGCAAAAGGCTTAAATGAGAGTTTGTGTAAGCTGATTCCTCAAACAGAGAAGTGATATTGTTTAAGGCTTCCTCTTTAGCTTGACCGAGCCATTCCTGGAAAGATCGGATTCCCATGAAACATCACTGTGTTTGTGGAGACTCGAATGACGACGTAAATACAGTATATTAAGGGAGGCTAACCACAATCTGCATAACATCCTTAAAATTTTCACCTTTCTTTAACATATAACCCATTGTGCATTGTTGTGTAAAAATACAGCCCATACAACCCTTTAAGTTGTTTGAGTTTTTGTTGTTTTTTTACACTGATTTACTAGCACTGATTTCTGATGCTACTTTGACTAGTAAAACTACTTAACTATAAAATACTTTGGGGGTTGGAAATATTAATAGGTTCGGTTAGTTTATTTGCCATTTGTAGTTAAAAACCACATTGGAAAAACGTGTAAAAAGCTCTTAGGGCACCGATAATGCACAATCATTACAAGCAACATACTGACACTGTGAAATAAACACGCTACAATGAAAGTGGTCAAAATATTAAGGTGCTACATCAAAGTTCAAAGTGCATTGTTGTAGTTTATAGCAGTGCGTGGGAAGAAGCTCAAACATGTCTCTGCAGAATCACCATAGGGGTCATGTATGATCTGAAGGGCTCACTTTTAAAAATCTACATTTGTAAAGAACCTCGAAGACAGGCAGTATTTTTTTTTGGCTGAGCAGACTACCTGTTTAAGCTGCCCCCTAGATTTCTTTAGAGAATGAATCTCATTATAAAAAGAGGTAATTGAAGCTAGTGGTGGACAATATCTCAATATTTTAAATATATCTCGATATTTTTTAAACACAAAATGAATTCTAACATACCATATACACTGATATAATGCTTATATATGCGCTCGCTCGCCCTGCAAGTCCAGTCTAACAGAAGCGGCACAAGCAGCTAGCTGATTTTTGAGCGCTTTAGTTTATGCAAATGAGCCATGCGGTTTTAAACTTTGTTTTTGTAAAAATCTAAATCTAAATCTAATCTAAAATGGGCTGATGTGGTGATGTGTAAAGATTTTAATGAATAATCTGCTGCAGTTTATAACTTCTACAATAGTGTTTAGAAACGTTGGGCTTGATCTGCGCAGTGGATTGTGGGATACCTCATAACTCCTTACACAGGTGAGGAACATGGATTTATTAACCTCCCGAGTTTCCTCTGCTAATGGAGCTCATGGTCCTGGTTATCGTACGATTAACAGAGTTAAAACGAAGATGAACTCAAGTTGACTTGTTTTATTTTTGAATGAAAAGAAGGAAATGTGTATTATTTCTTCCTTTATAAGGTTAAATCATTATTTTAGTATACAGGGATTTTTTTTTTTTTTTTTTATGTCGCAAAAGCACTTTTTTCCTACATGAACTGCCTACCTCTTTGCACTTCAGTAAAAAAAGACCTTGTAGAATTTGGCATATTTGTTTTTGCAGTACTTTTTGGGGGTTTATTATTCCTGTACAGATATCAAGATATATATCGTATATCGAGATATAACAAAATGTATCGAGATCAATTTTTTGATCCATATCACCCAGCCCTAATTGAAGCTATGTACGTCTTGTAACAGTACATATACACCCCGCTATGATTAGTTAAATGCACCTGTCACTCACTCAGAGCACAACAGAAGCTGACCAACAGAGAGAGTGGATGGGGAGAAGTGTTTTTAGCAGAGTTCTGCATTAAACAGAGAGGCACTGAATCTCAATATAGTTCGATACAACTGTAAGCATTTAAACAAACTAGTGAAATTAACTTTTTATCAGTTTGGTTAGGTGACACTTTTACTGTAGCCGCTGTACTTAAATGTGTTTTAGAGTATTGACCGACTGCATTCCTCTGAGCTTTTTCATCAGCTGTGTCTATTGAATAAGGAGATCTGCTCTTATCAGCGGCAGCGGTGGCAAAGGAGGAAGTGACTGCTGTAGTTTGTTTAGTGGTGCTTATGGCGTCTGAGAGCTAAAGCTAACAGTGGAGGGGAGGGGGTTAGCTGGCGCATAGGGCTAGGCCTGTCTGAGAGGATACTGCTATTGAGTTGCAAATGAGCTTGTAATTAGCCGCTACACATTTGCCTGCGGGGCCTAGGCTGTGTGAGTGTCATTGTGTGTTTTCTAACCCATTTTCCTTCGAATGGGTTGTGGGTGATAAGCAGATAATACTAATTACTTCTCCTCCCAATTGCTTGTTAATTGCGTTTAGTGTGGATTTATACAACGTGGTAATACCCAAATCGCCCCAGGCACCACCACACGCCTGCCCCCCGCAAAGAGGCAAAAGCTACAGGTCTTGTATTTAAGCATCAGCGCAGGACACTAATTAATTATGCCAAGAGGGGGGCATATTTAATAACAGTATTTATGAATTCCAGACTTACATCAGCGACTAACAAGCTGATTAATTCTAGCATTTAATTAGCAATAACTACCGCTACTTGGTACAACAAATCATGCGGCTTTTAGGTTGAAGTAGACAGTGATTTGCTGTAGGTTTTCGTGCTTGATACACTTGATGGAACCCTCACTATTTACTAGGTCTGGACCAGCACAAAAAATGCTCCACATGTTGAAACTACCGTCTCTGCATTGTGTATTATTGTAATATTTTTTTTATGTTCAAAATGTCATTGTCTAAATATTTATTGATTCATGTAGGAGAGCCACAAACACAATTTACTACTTTGAAATAAATCTGTGGATATGATACCTAGGGCTGGGTATTATTAAAAAGTTGCCGATACGATACATAGGCCACGACACGAGGCATATCTCAATACAGTGAGCTTTTGATTCGATACGATATAGTTCAAATCGATTCAATATGGTTCAATAAAAATGATGGCTATATCATGCTGTGATACTAAAAGTCTTTGTTAAACCATTTCTTGTGTAAAGTTCATATGAAACACGCCCATTTTAATCATCAAAACTGTGAAAATGTCAAATGTGTTGCATAAACAAGTTTCCTTCCTCCAAACAAGTAACAAAACTGTAGCTCTGTACCAAAATAATTTAGAAAAATATACCAAAAAATACTCTTGGTGATATAGCGATACGGCAGTCCCTGATATCGATTCTGTATCATCAAATGAAACGAGACGATATATCGATATTTTGATGTTTTTGCACATCCCTAATGGTACCTTAATTTGGTCAGTCACACAAAGGCACCATGTTTTTGTCCATTTATAAAATTGAGTTATAAAAGCTAACAACAAAAAAAACATTTGAGTATTGTGAAATAAAAATTAATTGACCCTGGTTGGTTGGCTATTAATCATTTTGAGGACTTTTTCATTTTGTTGTAAATTATTTATTGATATGGCTACTGTCCTAATGTTCCCTCATGCTTTGTTGCAACCCAGTTAGGTGATACTTACAACATAACTTTGCCTTGTCTTCAGTGTGTCTTGTTCATCTTTTTCTCTCAGATTCACAGCCGAACCTGAACGAGACAAACATATAACATGAAAACAGTAGTGCAGAAGCTCTAGTATCAGGTGTTGACAAATCTAAGCACAAACTACAACAAACCCCTTGTTCAAACGCATCCATCGTCTCCCTCTTATCCGTTCGGTCACAGCTCGGCAAGGCTTAAGCAGATTTGGTTTCTGTCTGCTCTCAAAGTGTTAAACAGAATGAGGAGGATTTGTAAAATGAAGGTGACTACGGCAGTGGTGGGAACTGATTCAGACTCATAATAGTCAGAGGTTAGAAAGATCTGACTGGTGAGATTGACTGGTGGTATGATCTCTTGACTCAGATGCACACTCACCTCTTTTCTAAAAACAAATCCACAAAGTATTTTAATCCATTGATCTGGTCTTGAACACATATCAAGCTGATCCCTGTAAGTTAGAAGGTAAATCTACTGATGGGTTTCAACTTCTTGTTACAGTTGCCAGTGAGGTGACATACGTGACTTCTGACCATTGTTCTGACCAACAAAAAAATATTGAATTGCTCTAGCAACAGACATCATTTTTCATCATGCTGAAAGTCATGGACAGGCATTAACAACTGTATTATGGATGCACTGTTTTTTAACTGAGGCTGAACTGAAATTCTACATAAAAAACTGGGAAAATGTTAGAATAAAAATACATAAATGGAAGGTGGACAGTCAATGCACAATGGGCAGTATTAGAGTTTTGATTTAAATCTGTTATTGCTGTTTCATTATAGAACAATTTAAAATTTTATTTCTTCTTAGATCTGTTGTGTTTTAAGTTTTAAGTCTCGTCTTAAGACCCACTTTTATTCTCTGGCTTTTAACACCGCCTGAGTTGTGTAGTCCTCTGTGTCGTTTATTTTTATGTTTTTTACCTTTTTATTATTTATCCGTATTCTTGCTCTTATTTGATTATTTGACTAGTTTTACTGTCTTAACATGAACTAGTGGAGTTAAGTAGAGCTTTATTTTATATTTTTAAATGCTATATTTCTATTGGATATATTTTATTTGTATTGTGCAGCACTTTGGAAACTGTTTTGTTTATGAAATGTGTTATATAAATAAAGTGGATTGGATTGTTGGAGGGAAGTGGCTGTTGCTATATTGTGTTATAAATAAAAGAGTTACATTTATTTATTCCTACATAACCAACTAACACGTAATAATCCAAAATAAATTAAATAATATAAATGCTAAATAAATACATTTTTTAGCTTCATTGACTCGCAGTAAAACATCTTTGGTGGCATTCACAAAAACATCACTGAACATGAAATCCCAGATGTTTTGGACCACCTCACTGTCTGAAAATCAGATTTGGAGTGAGTCATTAAAGCCCCTCACCTCATTTTAACCAGCTTCACCTGACTGCAACCTTTATGTAAATCTGAGCGTCTGCTGCGGCCTCCATTGTTTAAGGACAAATCAATATAATTACGCAGATTATCTTCTAAATCTGTTTCAGTTCGATTGAGCGGGGCAAAATGATAAGCGACACAGACAACTACAACACAGGGACAAGTCAGTGTTCGCATGTTTGTATTTGAGTTGACAGATGCTGGCAAGACCCTTAACCTGATTTATAATAAGAAAATTATCCTAAGACTGATTAATGAGCTGCCAGATCACAGGGATAGAACTAATGCGTAATGCTGTTCTTTGGAATCGCTCCACTGAACATCAATGTCTAGTGATAGGACGGGCAGTCTTGTTACAGGAGGACGTTTTGAGGACCTTCTCCCATTCGAAAGATATAATGGCAACAGTACTAATATTCATCATTTTGAAACTCATAGATAAGACTTAAGACAAACGGTATTAATCTGTGAGTTCCTTAGCTGCAATACTTCAGCAAAAGCAATGATTATGTCTATAAATATATATGAATTTTGTTAGCATTTATTTTTTGCTTATTAAATTGTAATGTGATTATATTATGTCAGCTAATACTGTGTCCAAGTAATTTGTATATAGCAAAATAGACACCAAAAGATTTACATTTAGTAACAGAATATACAAGTAAATATATAATTATGCAAAATACAATTATATTTTCCTATTATGTTTAGCTGAAGAGAAGGAATTCAAAAAGTCTGTTGTTAATTAAATTAATTTGTGAAGGGGTTGCGTGCATTTAATATTGGATCTTGTTACTAATTAAAATAATGTGGGAGCAACATCATTTATTGATTATTTAAATGCACAGTGAACTCAACCATGATAAATTATTTCAATTCAATACGCTGAGCAAACTTGATAGTATATTTGATACTGGCTCTGTCCTGACTTTGAATATAACCGTGCTTCTGTAGGTCAAATGGAAATACAATGACTTAAACATGTTATTTTAAGCAGACATTTTCCTCTGTATGGGACAATATTCATGCTCTTGTTAATGGACTAATTGGCTGCTGTATTACCCCATTTCTCCTCCTCGTCATCATCCCCCTGGGGCCAGTCTCCACATACGACCTATTAAATAAGCTATCTTTGCTTGTTTGCTCACTGCAGTAATTCGGGCAGTCAATGTATCCTCAGGCTAAGCCAAACAAGCTGATCAGCCGTCACCTCTGTACACACTACCCCCCGCTAAGAAGCTAATGGCCGGGATGTATAATCCTTCTCAAAACAACTGCAGAGATGCTAATTGTATCAAGCTATAAATACGAGTTGACTTCTTGTCCCGCTTCTTTATTCGATCCTCCTCTCCAAGCTCGAGCAGACCGCTGAACTACAACACAGGAGGATTTCTCCGTTACATAAGGCAAAGATGCTCTGGACGCGGTAAACTTCGCTTTTGTCGGACTTTACGCACGGACAGAAAGCTTTATGAACTTTTGAAATCGTAAAAGGAGTCACGTCAAGATGTTTCCACTGCCCATGTTCACCCCGGACCAAGTGGCCCGCGTCTGTGAGAACTTGGAGGAGACCGGGGACATAGAGCGCTTGGGCCGGTTCTTGTGGTCTCTGCCCGCCGCCGTGCCAGGATCCGCGGGGGAAGCCCTGAACCGACACGAGTCCGTGATGAGAGCCCGAGCTCTGGTCGCTTTTCACGGAGGAAACTTCGAGGCGCTTTACCAGATCCTCCAGAGCCACCGCTTTACGCACGAGTCCCACGCCAAACTCCAGGACCTGTGGCTGGACGCGCACTACCGGGAAGCGGAGAGGCTACGGGGAAGACCGCTGGGACCCGTGGATAAGTACCGCATCCGCAAGAAGTTCCCCCTGCCCAGAACCATCTGGGACGGAGAGCAAAAGACGCATTGCTTCAAGGTAAAAACTCAATTCAAGGCCGCAAGAGAAACGCTCCAACAAACTACGCACGCTGTTTCCAATAATTCGGACGATTATCTGTTTAGATTTCATCCAGAAAAATCCACATATTTGGGCGATTACATAGTCAGACAAGCGCATACATTAAAACTTTTTAATTTGGGTTATTCTACTATTAAAATAACACTGAAATGTGAATAATCAATATATGACGCTGGTGAACTCAATGTGATACCACAGATACATTTTTACATAAACAGGAACATTTGTTTGGAATAATTGCTTACACCGCAAACAAGGGAAAAAACAGAGATGCTTGACACATAACTTTCTGCTCTGGTTTGCGGCTTTGATAATCTGTTTAAAAGCCCTCTAGTGGTTACAAGGAACTGCTAAACAGAAACCTCGTATTTCTCAGGAGCATAATAATCCACTTAAGATGATCCTTTTAATAGACATACATTGGCCCAGGATTAATGTGATAATAGGTTTAGATCTGATCTAATATGATTATGCACACTGAGACTGAAGGGGATCATAAGAAGACACTACATGTCACTGTCTGAAATTTCAAACGTCAAAAGTTGAGGATGTGTCTAAAGAAATGCATTGTTTTTGCAGGAGCGCACTCGCAGTTTACTGAGAGAGTGGTATCTCCAGGACCCTTACCCAAACCCGTCCAGAAAACGACATCTGGCCCAAGCCACAGGACTCACCCCTACACAAGTTGGAAACTGGTTCAAAAACAGAAGGCAAAGAGATCGGGCTGCCTCTGCTAAAAACAGGTATGTCCAATTTCTACCATATGCACTTGGCATTAAGTTAAAAAAATAATACATAGGTCATGGGTAGGTATGCAATGAACATCCTAAAACAAAATACAGCATAGTTATATGTTCTAAATTCTATGGTTGACCAGGTTTGACTCGGTTGTTTTGCAGAAAAAGTCAAGCCCTTTTGATTGAAAAAGTTTGAAAGTTAATTACATTACGATAATTGATTCTTTGAACAGTACCTGCTTATCTAATTCTCATGTCTCTTGTGTGCAGACTACAACAGGACTCCTCACTGCTCCCATCAGAAAGTTCTCCTGAAAACTCAGTACAAGAGCGCCATCGTCTGGGCAGTCCAGAGAACAGCGACTCGAGCACAGGAGCTGACCACAGGGGTAATGGGGCATCCACTCCGGAGATTTCAGTTAGCAGCGACAGCGAGTTTGAGTCGTAAAATTATGGCTCTGCAAAAGACTATTCACAAAAGGACATATCACAAGAGACACTTGAACCGCCCGTGGACACTGGAGTCTCTGTGGGTGGAACAGAGCTGTGATACTGCAGATTTTCAAAGCAGAATATTATATGCAAATGTAAAATGCACTTAAATGCGCCATGATACATCACCTTGACTGTTATAAAATACGATGCAGGAGTACCTTTACATAAGTAACAATTTGTTTTATCTTTTAATGCAAGTATTTCTAGCAATAAGCCAAGTATTATGAGAAAATCTATTTAATAGCCTGAGGTATAGAATCAGATTAACTATTATTGCCATTGTCAGTGAACAAAATTCACAAACTAGGAATCTGTTTCAGCAATATGGAGTAACAAAACAAAGAAATGCTATTGTTAAAGTTACTACAAATATTAAGCATAGAGCACACTGCTGCTGTGAATATTTTACAGGTCATGCAATTTTAAACCTGGTATTACAGTCAGATATAATGATTATTATGAACATATGCAATTGCCTTACAAGGAACTACAGGGAGGCTTAATATGCAAAACCCACTTTACATTATGCTGCTCAAAACCTTTTCGTCTTGCTGATATTTTACCTGCTGTTTGTGCGGGGTCCTGGGCTCTGCTCAAGCTGAAACAGAGAACATTAAGCACTAATTGGTCTTAACTCAATGTGCCTCTCTTACATTTGAGTCTGTCTGACCCAACATTAGTCATATCTAATTTACACACACACAATGGCCTACTCTTTACTTTCTTATCATCACATTTCGTATACTGTGTTTCCATTTTCCACTTTCATACATGTTATCTGTAAATAAATAAAACTATTTTTATCCAAATATGTGTTGATTTGTATTAAAGAAATTGCTCATGATGGTAGTATCTAGCTAACTTGTTAACGCCACCTATTTTTAAGGCAAAACTTTTAGATTTTAATATTATTTGGAAATGCAATATTATCAAGTGATGTTAAATTTATAATGAATGTATCCATAATTCACAAAAATTAGCTTAAGGTGTTAATATAAAGACATTTTGTCAAGGTCATGTTGCTATGCTATTGCTAACCTTAATTAACATTTAGCCAACTCACAAAATATTGTCTGCACTGCTTAACAAAACACATTTCCATAGTGTTATAAATAAATACATTTATATAATGAAGAATATATGCGTTGTAATCGTTTACAACATAGATTAATGTAAATAAAATGAAGTTCACTGCACCTTGCTAATCTAATTTAGCATTTTTGCCACAACCTAGCTACGGATACTCCGAAGGGACAAAACAAAACAAAACAAAAATCCCGAACAAAATAATATTCCTGATTATATGCATTTAGCCTAGTTAGAAACACATTTTATAATAAAGATCGGTGTAAACTAAGAGACAATGTATATCTATGTGAAATAATACCCACTTACTTATATACGTAGGATATATTTTAATTAATGATGGTATCTTAATAATTACTTAATTTACCCAAAGTTTTGCTTGTGCCTCCTGTTTTCTGTCTGAGGAATGGGCGTTCACACAACTTAAACTCCACCTCCTCTGAAACGAGAAGAGGCAGCGACATTTCTGCATACCTGTCACTCAATTATATCCGTACCAGCTAATGCATGGGTCATATTGATTAACTTACCATCTACTATTAACTGCAGTCTTGTCCTGTTTGGAGGGATTTTGCAGGAAATTTCATCATGGACAGCCAGGGTAGGAAGGTGGTGGTCTGTGACAATGGAACTGGGGTGAGTAAAAAGTCACATTTCCTGTTTTTTTTGTGAAGTTTTTGAATGACACATTGATATAATCATGGGGTTTATAATAATACTTTTTAAAATAGATGATTTTATTGCAGTTACTCATTTATTACCATTCAAAGTCTTGGGTGTAAGTTGGTGCATACTCCAGTCTGAATCTCCATGTGTCTGGACTTGTCAATTGCATGTTTTCTGCTCTCACAGCCATAAATGGTTGTGATGCTTTGAACTGCGCTCGCATTGGTTAGAAAACAGGAAGAAACTGCTCCAGTGAAACAATGCAAACACTTCTGTTTTGTGGCTTGCAATATGTGTAATTTTAGAATAGGCTATAAAAGATTAAAAAGCCACTGGGTATTTTACTAAACGTCTGTAGATTCCTCCTGGTTTGTTCTGTTGCCCTAAGGACAAGGAATGTGTCTGTGGTCACCTGGACATGTTGAAACAGTGCTTTGAGGTGTAGCCCTGACTTAAGCAAATTCACTGACATAAAACAATACAACTGCTGAAATACAGTGGTTTTAAAGTATTAGGGAAGTGCTCTAGTGCTGTGTAAATCTTTAAATAGGGACATTTGACAAAAGCATTACATCGTAAAGTATTTTTGGTGATTCTATGACATCATTTCCAGTAAATCCAAACTTGTAATTTTAACTAAGAGTAATGGCACTTTAATTTAATATCATACCGGACAGTAGAGATATATAAAAAGTATAACTGAAGCTCCTAAATTTACAGTATAATATAATTATTTTGCTAGGGCATGTAACAGAGCTATACGCCCACCAATGCCTCCAGATATGATAGACTGGCTTTAGTTGATTTACATTAAGCCAAATGTCTTATTCTGAACAGAGTTGATAGATATATTTATGCACATTACTGCACATAAATACCCTTTGTAGTGGATATTAAAGATTAACTTGTTTTAAGGCAATCCAAACATATCTGTCTTATCTCTTCACAGTTTGTCAAGTGTGGCTTTGCTGGCTCCAACTTCCCTGATCACATATTTCCTGCAATGGTCGGACGACCCATAATTCGATCAAGTGTTAAAGTGGGCAACTATGAAATAAAGGTAAAATATTAGTTTGTAATCTCTACCTCGTGTGGTTTTATATTCTTTCATTTAATTTGTCTTAACTTTCACTTAAAAATAACTTAATAGCCTGTACCACTTTTAATCTTACTGTTTGGTACTTACATGTTTAAAAGAAGAAAGTGAAAATTAAACCATTAAACTTCTTGCATAATACATTTACAAGCATAATATTATTGCCATTTTATTATACACTGCTTTTGATATCAAAATGTTTATCTTATTAGTCTTGAATTATTTCCTTTCCAGTGTCCTAAATAATTAAACTAAACTAGTAAAATGTGATTAATGACTTATGTAAACTAATTTGCTTTAATGTATAGGCCAACAATCTGGTGATTATTACTATTATAAGGTTAAGATATAAAGTACTTTATTTTGCCAGGACCTGATGGTTGGAGATGAGGCCAGTGAGTGTCGTTCGATGCTGGAAGTTACTTATCCGATGGAGAATGGGATGGTGAGATGCTGGGAAGACATGCTGCACCTTTGGGACCACACTTTTGGACCAGAGCGGCTCAACATCAACCCAAAAGACTGCAAGGTAAAACATAAAACACAATCCTCTCAAATATTGTCAGTGCTATTTTTAACGCAGAAAAAACTAGCTATGGCTTTGTAAGATCTGCTCTCTACCCAGCGGCAATATGGCAAAAAGTAGTCACAATTTTAATTTATTACAGCAAGTTTACTCATCATTGTGATTGCCAGACAGCTCAAATCCTGCCTTTACTTCTGTATAAAAGCTTACTTCTGCAGTACTTCGCCTTCAGTATGAGTGAGTGGTTGTGAGTGGGTTCCCAGTGGAGATATAGACGTTTTATAACGAAGATTCTATTTACCATTTTAGATCCTGCTGACGGAGCCTCCCATGAACCCAACTAAGAACAGAGAGAAGATCACAGAAATTATGTTTGAAAAGTACCAGTTTCATGGGATTTATGTGGCCATTCAGGCAGTGCTCACTCTCTATGCACAAGGTATCATTAATATAAATAAACAGTATACTGGTTATTTATCTTACATGGTAGTGCTTACCTCTCCCTGTTTTGATTTTGTCTCCAGGTTTGCTGACTGGTGTGGTGGTGGACTCTGGAGACGGAGTGACCCACATCTGTCCAGTTTATGAGGGATTCTCTTTGCCTCACCTCACTCGCAGGCTCGACATCGCAGGACGGGACATCACACGCTACCTCATCAAGGTAAAAAATTAACTACTACAATGCAATATTATACAATAAACACAAGAGAAGTAGCTTTACTGATGCAAATGTTAACATCAGACATTACCTAATATTTCACACATACTACAATGGGTTGCATTTAGAAGATCATTAGGCACAAAAAAAGATGATAAATCAATATGCAAATTCAGAGTGGTTCACAAACTTTTCACAAGTACCACCTCCTAAAAACATCTTCTGCTTTTCAGTTACCGATATCTAAACCAGATCTAAAAAAAAAAGTGCATGGTGAGGTAATTGGCTTACGCAATTGCTATACTAGTTCAAAAGAGGAACTAACTCAAAGAAACAAAAATGTGGAATCACTAGACTCACAACTTGAGAAAATATTTAAACTAATTCTCATACTACCTAAAGGAGACCATAGCCCTAAGACATTTTTGTTTTCTTACGCAATCAAGGACAAAAAAGGTTGTTGTCACTCCGGGGGTGGAATTATTATAAAATGCATGTACAATCTCTAAAGTTTTACCCTTTTTCTTTAGCTCCTGCTGCTTCGGGGATATGCCTTCAACCACACAGCAGACTTTGAGACAGTGAGAATGCTCAAGGAGAAACTGTGTTATGTGGGATACAACATCGAACAGGAGCAGAGACTGGCCACTGAAACCACTTATCTGGTTGAAACCTATGACGTATGTGTATTTTTTACTACTAAATTTACCGCTTTTAATGTATACTCCTTAAAAAAAATATCCTAAAATTCTAAAAAATAGATACAAAATGGTGTAATAAGGACAAATGTTCAGATAATTTAATATTGTCAACAGAAAGCTTTTGTCACCATAAACTTAATTATCAATTACCAAATTTACCAAGTAAGAATACTGTTACTTTCAAAATAATATAACTTGTAATAATGATTTAAGTAGAAGTAAAAGGAATGTCAATTTCCTCAAAAAGTTACTCAAGTAAATGTAACTGAGTTCTACCCATCACTTCATATTATGATGCATTTGTTTGTTGTCTATAGCTCCCTGATGGGCGACAGGTGCGTGTTGGTGGTGAGCGGTTTGGAGCTCCTGAAGCTCTGTTTCAGCCTCATCTCATCAACATTGAGGGGGCAGGAGTGGCCGAACTACTGTTTAACACCATCCAGGCTGCAGATATCGACCTAAGGTAACAAATATCTTCAACAATTCTTCTTCAGCAAATCTACACACGACTTATTTTGCATTTGTGATTTGCTTGTGTTTAAATAAATATCTTTGTTGCAGGCCAGACTTCTATAAGCACATCGTCTTGTCTGGGGGGACCACCATGTACCCAGGACTTCCCTCTCGGCTGGAGCGAGAAATCAAGCAGCTTTACCTGGAGAGAGTCCTGAACGGAGACACACAAAAACTATCTGTAAGTTTTAAAGCTGCACTCTGTAACTTTATCAGTGGACAATATGCCACAAGCTTATCACTGCTACAATGGCAATTAAAAATGTAACAGCAATTATTGTCAAAAGTCTTTGAATTAGCTGCAATAGGAATATATGGACAATACTTCAGTTTGAGATGTTGTTTTAATATTTATTGTCTCAAAATTTGCATTAGCATTGGCTCTGAGACACAAACCTCTGCCTTTCTAAAAGCAGAAGTGTTCTGTCTTGAAGTATTAATTTGATTTGTGTCATTTTTAACATGTTGTCACATCCGCTTTATCTTGAAATCTTTATAAATTTTAGCACAACTCAGCTAAAACTACACAGATGCACAATTGGACAGGAAGTAGTGACGCCATCAGTGTGGTTCACAGGGGTTGTTCTGCACAGAGCCTAATACTGAAAGCAATTGTAACTTAAAAAAATCTGGCAGTACATTATCACTGACATCACTTTTGTTTTTGTAGAAATTTAAGATCCGCATTGAGGATCCGCCGAGGAGAAAGCACATGGTTTTTCTGGGAGGAGCAGTTCTGGCCAACATCATGAAGGACAAAGATTCCTTTTGGCTGACCAGAGAGGAATACCAGGAGAAAGGCCTGGGAGTGCTGCAGAAACTTGGAAGTAGCATTAGATAAATACAGCATTCAGATAGATACCATTTTAAACATGATGTGAGAAAAAACGTAGTACTTCGGCTACGTTCGCATTGATCAATTTTGAACTATATTGAGACTAAACCTGGAAATTAACCTGGAGTAGACTATGACTAAACCAGGACTAAACCAGGACTAAACCAGGACTAAACCAGGACTAGACCAGGACTAAACCAGGGCTGGAACAGGACAAGTGAGTACGCAGCTTAAGTTTTAATTGCTTGTGAAATGTGTTTTGGAGGACGTTTTTTTACACTGTTATATCCTCTTACATAAAAAATACAACCAAATCTAGTTTTATTTCGTTATGAGTAAGGTTTCAAGTTAACCGGAGGAATGGTAGCCAGAATTTTCAGTATCTTAATAATATGCATGCTCTTTTATTCAGGTAAGGCTGCCAGCAGGGACAGTTCAGTGCAATGAATTCGACAGTAATAATTTAGCGACCCAAAAATTACAAAGTAAATGTACTGAATTTCAGTTTACATTTTAGCATTACAGCACCACGACTATTAATTTAGCCTGTATATGTGTGATTGAATGCTTCTTGGTTGCTAAATGTCAAATTGTGATGGCAATAAATCAAGTGCACAATTATAACCTGATTCTTGTCTCAATGTTCTTAATAAAGGGCTCTCTCTAGTGGTCAGTTATCATACTACAAAATATCACAACATGAAGATTCACCCAGGCATGTCACAATTTACGATTTTAGTGTTACAATAGTTAAGAGAAGAAACATCACAACTTACAACTATTCACGATTAGTATGTTATTAATGTATTATCATTATTAATGCTATTATGATATCAACAGATAAACAGCACATTTTAAAAGTATAGATTGATTGAAACTGCTGCTTCTAAAATGATCACATTTTTCCTCATATCCTCCTGAGACCCGGTCCATTCATTTATGTCCTTTATAGTGGACATAGAGTTAACCAGTCTGTCTTTTTGTCTCTTAAGTGTTTTGAGACAGACTCTTAATGGGGGGACTAGCTCAATTGGAGTTAGTTTATAGCTGCACTATAATAAAAAAAAAAAGAAAAAGAAGAAGACAGAAGAAAGAAATTAAAAGGGAGTCTAAAAACTTTTTTAAAGTGACTGTAGAAGCTTGTCAGAGATGTTGGTCATCAAAAAAGTTGTTATTGGTAGGTGATTAACTTCACATGGATCTAACAACAAAATGTCCTCAGCAACCATTACAGAGGATGTTACAAAATTATAAATAGAAATAAAATGAACAAAAGTTAACAAAATACATATTGTTAAGTTAACAAAAAAATATATATTGTAAAACACTTTTTTTCTTTGGGCCCCAGGAGGATATACGATCTGTAAACTGAATATTTACAATGGTCAATTCATATGTTTTGCCACTAATCCCTTCTGATAAACTACCCTAAAATGTAAATTCTACACCTGAGTGGCACTTCAGGGTAATTCAGTATACATAAATAATAATAAATACTCCTTACTCTACACAAGACCCATGTCTTCAAACTTCCAGTAGACATATATTTAAGACACACAGAAATATGCAATGTTTAAAAAACAGATGCTCTTCAAAAATGTGCAACTAGGCAATAAAAAGAGAAAAAAAATACCCTTCCATATCAATATAAAATTTATTTTTTTCACTAGGTTTATATTCTGTTGATTCTTGCTTATCCTTCCTTTTTAGTTCTGTTGAATTGCAGTTTTGGCTTTCATATGACACCTCGCATATAATTCATTGTCACCTTTATGAATTATACCACAAAGAAGGCGCTTCTGGCCGAAAGGTGTTGGCCTCTCTTGCTCCAATAAAGGACTTTTAACCTATCAAAGTGCCTCGGATTCTCTGCCTTCACACACACTTGATACTGAAAGGCATTTTTTGTCTTTTAATATATTTAAGTCAGTTCCTTATCAGATCTGTACCCGAACTAAAGAAGCTATAAGTGGCAAAACATATTAACTCTAAAAACGTTTGTCCAGTTTACAATTTTCTTTTGCTATAATCACAATTATCAGTTACCCAAATAATGTTGACATCCCATTCCTCCACACAAATGATCAGCCTCAGCTTGCAGGACAAATATAGCAATAGTCTTTATTGCGATACTGAATTACCTGACAAAATACAGTCATGTCTTTTTACACTGAAAAATAGTGAGCTCTCACAAGTAACACATGCTTCACACACACACCACATTCGCAGAACCTTCACGTCAATGAGAAAGCATGCAATTTCCTTCAAAACATATTAACAGGCCCACACTGTAGCCCCTTAATGGCAATCATACTCTGGTTTGATATCTAGCCAACAAATGCAACAAGTCAATAGATTAAATACACTATATGCATTGCCAAAAATGTATCTAGATCAGTTAAAATTACTTAAATTCATGGTTGTGTTCACGTCCTGGACTTTGGTAATGTTATAATTTCACATGGAGAGCAGAGGCCTAAATAACTTTAATAGAGATGCACTGTTTTTTTTAACCAAATATTGAACTCAAAACACACAAATGGCAAAGATTGGGTCCAAAATGAACTTAAAGTTCTTTCAATTTACAACAATGATTTTTTTTATAATGTCACTGCTGTTTGCCTCAGTGTAAAATAAGTACTTATTACAATTCATATATGCAGAGAAAACACTGAGCTTTGTGCCAGTTTTTGTTTCATATGAACAGACCCAGTTATTACAGAGATATTAGACAGTTTAAAGACAAATTCGACTGTAGAATAGGTTGCATTCACATGAGATCACAACATTAAATCAACCTTAAATCCCTCATTTAAAACTGTTCACATGAAACTAAATTAGGCACAAAGTTAAATCTCTGTCAACATAAATAAACAGACATTTTTCCCACAATAGATTCAATCCTATTTGTTCCCAATCCCAAATAATACACTGCAACATTTGTGGATCATATCTTGGACATTTCTTTTAAAAACTGCTATACCATACAGTTATATAAGCCTCTGCCCTCTATCTGAAACTATGACGACCTCATATTCAACAATGTGAACCTGTCCTATTTTAAAACAGACATCATAGAATATTCAAGTAATTTTGACCAATGCTGGATGCAGAGTTTTTGCAGAGTGGTCATTGATGAAACAGGAAACAGTCAGATGAGCTGCAGCAGGACACCAGAAAAGTGGTGTTATCATGTACATTCAGCCAGACGCACCAAGGCTCTGGTTTAATGGTCCAGTTGTACAGTTACAGGGCAGTGCAAAAGTCTTAAAGAGGTGACAAGAAATAACACTTTTCTTGTTATTTGTTACGTGTAACAGGCAAAGGACTTTTTCACATTTGATACATAGTCAAACGGTGCTTGAAGAATGGATTCTGTAGTACGGTATATTAAGAGATACAGTCAGTGAAGTGACAAAATTAAACTCAACTAATAAAAAAGTACAACAAATGCTGTCTGAGAAAATACATTTTGTTATATTTTTTACAAGTTAATTAGTGAACTTAAATGCCTTTTCTTCAATTTGTGGGCCTTGCCATAGATTCAAATACTAATTTATACAGATATCGATTGAAGAACAAACCAATATCAGATCTAGCACTTTTAAACTGCAGTATTCATTCACAAGTTTCATTTGTAGCCACAGCTGCCCTGGGGCACACTGACAGAGAAGGGGCTCTCACTTTGCGCTGACTGTCTTTAACCACCACCATCACTGACCACACACATATTTTCGAAGAAGATCTGAGTGCCTTGCCCAAGAGTTCTAGTGGACCACCAATGATTACCCATGCACCAAATGAGCCATTGTCGTACCTCCAAAATAAAGTTTTATTACATGTTTCACCGTCTGGGAAGATAAGGGTTTAGCAGCTCAAATAAATAAACATTTATACTCGAATAATAAAAACTTCTAGTATTGTGAGATACTATCCAAGTGCTTGTACTTATGTATTTTCTATCATAATTCTGTTGCATAGACTGTATATATAAATAGACATAGCTGCAGTGTTCCAAATGGGAAGTGAGAATGGGAACACTTCCGGTTCCATCAACTCCAATTCACTTTACATTGAAAAACTGCCACCCCTCTCTCTGTAACTGCTGTTCTTGGGGTCCTCATTTTGGTCTTAAAATCTTCGTATTAACCAGCTCTACATGGTCCTGATGTTTTTGCTATTTTGTCTGTAAATAAATTCCTTTTCCTAATATTGAACTCTGAATCCAAATTCACCCCTGTAACTGCTAGGCTCATAAGCTTCCTTTGACTGGAGCCAAACACTATGGGTGACATCACACTCCCTTAGTCCACTTCTTTATACAGTCTATGTTTTCTTGTTTATCTGTCATTCTTAACCTGTCTAAGACTTCTGCACAGTACATACACTTGTTAAATAAATAAGAATGATTGCCATTTTGTAAGTATTCAACTCTCGACACAGAAAAATACATTAGAATACATTCACAAGTCATTCAGAAATGCAGGCTTTCTTGGTTTGAAGTAAAAGAGGCTGATGCATTTCGGTCGCTCGCCGCCCACTCTCCCATTAGGCACCTGCCAACAACACTTAATACTCGCGCAGGTGGGAGGAGGGTCGCAGCTCGTATTCGGTAAAAGTAAAAATAAACTCATCTGTGTGGGCGATTTCAAAAATAAACTTCTTTTAGAGCTATTAAAACCAACTTGCTCACTGAGTTAACAGGTGCTGTGTCACAAAATGGCCACTTTTCATCCATCACTTTGGTTTTTGGAGGTTTGGTCATTTCTTTCATTATTAAAATACTCAAAGTTGTACAATTTTGTGCAAAGTTCTTGGCGCGGGGTAACACTGTTGTGGCCGAGGGAGCTTTAATAAGATTTGTTTTTAAAGGTGTACTAAGTAGCTTTTATAGTGTCCAAACACTTGTCTCCGTGGAGAACTTTTTGTCAAGAATGTACCACAGTTTGGCATAAAATTTAACTATTTTCACTGAAACCAGCAGGTAGAAAAAAATCATGGCTGTAATTGAATAAATTAGATATGTTTAATACTCTACTGTAATATTCTAGACAATCCACCAACATAATCATAAAGCAACAAGTTTTGGACCAGAAAAGTTGCATACTACTAAAGTTTAGGAGAGGATGGAAGTAGAAAGTACTGCTGGACAAATATCTAAAAAGAATTTGACTTTGTTCACCAGTGAAATTTCATTTTAGGAACAGAAAGCCAAGGAAAATGCATTCATTGAGACACTCTAGATAGCACTTTAGATCCAGGAGTACTTTAGATCTGGTGTTTAATTACTAATAACACCTTGAAAACATACATTCTTTGTGTGAGTGGGGTTGCCTCTCCACAGATCTGACCAGTAACTTAGCCAGGTGGTGTCAAATTCAAAAGTTCTATAATGTACGTTTAACATTTTAAAACTTAATTTATGATTTATGTATTAAAAAAACAAGTAAATGTATTTCAGTAAATATTTCTGATGTTCAAAATGCCACAGAAGAGAGAAATTCAAATGAAGCCGATATACTTTAGATCCGAGAGTATTTTAAGAAACTTGGCTAATTTCACTTATTTGAAAAACAAATTATTACTTTCACTAGACCCCGAGACCTCTGTTGCTCAATGAGAAAAGACTTACTCCTTAAAATCTTCCATATTTGACTAATATATTTCAATTTCCTTAAGATTCTGTCCAAGACTTTTGCACAATACTGTATGTATATCTCCAAAGGGCACACAAAGGTTTTCTGATCAACTTCATCCAAAAATATTCCGAGAGACAAAAGTAATAAAAGATCCAGAGGAGGTATACAGTGAGAGGGTTACATCACACACACCGTTAGCCTTTTCACCAAGCGAACAGGAAGTAGATTCTGTTTCCAAGCAACAGTCTCACGGAAACCGTCTTTGGACAGGAGCCTCGTCCATTTTGAGTGATGTAATCCTGTCAGTGTATCCTCATGGGTTCAAGCAACAACCAAAAAACAGTTATAACACATTTCCAGGTCACAAATAGTGTATACAGCCCTGTACAAAAGCAGCCACAACTTTTGGCATTGGTCTATTAGCTGGATCCGATCTTCTCTGCACCATCGGAGGGCAGTTTGAAAAGTTTTGACCAAAGATGCAAGATTGGATTCAGAAAAAAGAAGGAAAACATTGCCGTCTTCTTGTCTTCCCGCTCACTCCTCACACACGGATTCGCTCAGGTCCACAGCGCCCCCTCTGGTGAGCCGCCGCATCTTGCTGAAGTCGTGGTCCGTGCGCAGGTAGGACAGAGAGGGACCCCCTTCGCTGTGGCTAGCCAGGTCTTGTGGTTGGGCTTGGGGTGGGAGGGCTCTCATCTCGCCCCCGCTCCTCCAGAACAGGGTGTACTGCTGAGGGTCAGACACCCCAAACGTGGAGGCGCACAGCTGGGCCAACGCCTGGCTCGTCTCCCCCGCCCTCCACTGCAAGGTCCGCACCGCACTACGATCCCCGTCCTGGAACAGTATCCGAACGCACCTCTGCAAAGATACACACATTTAATGATCTGTGTTCAATATTATACCTAATTTCAAGGGTTTTGCTCAACAAAAACCCACCTGGAATTGTGTTTTGTTTCACATGTTTAGCACACAAACCCCGCATATTAGGCTGAGTTCCACTCCCTAACAGAAAACACTCCACCTTTTTCCACCTTGTGATGTCATGTGGTGAAACAGGAAGCACTCCCCTTTGTTTTTACACACCTTCACTAAAATCATTTAGATAATTTCAGACTTTCAATTGCCAGTCTCTACTCAACAAAAGATAAAAGGTAGCTATTAACTTGAAAACTACCACTACATGACATCACAGGGTGGAACAGAGCATTTTGAGCTTTAGAGATTTAAACAGACTAATAATAAAGGGTTGCTTAAACATGTGTGAATGAAACAACACAACTATAGCTATGTTTTTAATGGCGGTAGCATTATAACATGGCTTAAAGTTCATAAAAGTCGATTTTGCTTTGCCCAGAATGTTCCCCAGTATGGCATTAAATTTACATATCTTGCAATTACAGGTGTTTTAACTGCTAATAATACCTTGAAAATATACATTCTTTGTGTGAGTGGGGTTTCTTCTCCACAGATCTGACCAGTAACTTAGCCTGGTGGTGTCAATTTCAAAAGTTCCATAGTGTACCTTTAACGTTTTAAAACTTAAAGTATGATTTATGTATTAAAACAAAATAAATGTATTTCAGTGAATATTTCTGAGGATACAAAATGCCACAGAGGAGGGAAGTTCAAATGAGGTTAAAACTGTATAAATAAAAATGAAAACAAACTCAGAGAATACTTGTAATATAGGATCTTTGGTGAACTTGGATTGTGGTTTTCAAAATTTCAAAGTTGATACAGGAAATGATCTGGAATCATCACATTTAATCGATACCATTGCAGACTTCAGATGCCCTTCCAAAAACAACACTCTCCAGAATACACTGACTTGTGACCCATGAAATCCATCTAGTTGGTAATAGTGAACAGTTCTGTACCAGCATCTTGTTAAGTATGCTTATTAAGAGGAATTTCTCACTGAATTGGCATTTGGAAAAGAGTGATATCTTGAAACCAGACAGAATTTTATGAATTATGAATTATTTATGTGGGCATACCAGCTTGCCAAAGCCGGATCCTGTCAGATCTCAGAAGCTAAGCAAGGCCTGGCCTGGTTAGTACTTGGATGGGAGACCACTGGGAACACCAAGTGCCACAGGGAGGCACCAGTCACAAAAACTGTTGTTGTGTCTTTAGGCAAGGCACTTCACCCACATGAAAGTGGTGTGAGCGAGACTGATCGTGGTCGGAGGGGTCGATGGAGGCAAATTGACAGTCTCGCTTCCCTCAATCTGTTCCAAGGGCAGCTGTGGCTACAATAGCAGTTTACCACCACCGGGTGTGGAGGGAATCAATAATGCTCTGTAAAGCATCTTTGAGTGTCCAGAAAAGCGCTGTATAAAACTGATGCGTTATTATTATTATTAATTACCTTGAAACAAGACAAATAACCTTGATGGAACTCAAAGTTTTCACCTCTGTAAGAAAATGATTGATACCACCAGATCTAACCCAGGTTCATAAGACTATAAGAGGATGAACCAGAAGTAAGCTCAAAACTAAGCAGCAATGAAGATTTGGTGAGTTTTCTGATTAATATTGTGATTAGATTTGCAGGTGTATTACCATGAGAAAAGATTAGGTATGTAACTTATTACTACCTTCTACCATCTGCTTGCTTTCATGGAGATATTTTTGCTTTACCTGGAATGATCTGTATCAAGCATCAAACGGAACAAATTCAGTACAACTTTAGTATTTTCAGTACAGTACAGTACAACTTGAGTATTTTTTATTCAGCTCATTTAAACTCAAGTAGATGTTTAGTATTTGCTGAGTACAAACCCATTACGTACACTTCTTATTCCTCTAATTGTCTAAAACTGTGGATATATAAATGTTCGTGTGAATTGAAGGTCACAGCACTGAGGAGAGGGCAGAAGATGGGGGTGTAGAGAAAGCGAAAGAGAGATAGAGAGAGAAAAAGAGAGAGAAGGTTCACCATAATAATAATAAATGACGTTCGTAATGTCAAAGATCTCCAGTGGAAAACAAAGCTCTAACTGCCCACACACTCTCCCTCTCCCTGAAACCAGAATCACCTTGTTGGAGATGCTCATTTCGTGTTTGATAATCTACAAAAACATATTTAAATAAGGCATTTTTAATTGTTTTAATTTACGTAGCTGCTAAAGTTTGCCTATATACGCAAATGCAAAGTTTGAACACATAAGCGATGCTAAAATTGCAAATAGGACTCTTGAAAACACTTGGCTGTAATTGCGTTCAACCTATTATGTAACCACACCATAAGCCAACTACAGACATTAACAGCGGGAAAAAAAACACTATAAATATTTCTATAAGAAAATGATGTGAAAATAGGTGTCAACTTGAAAACACACATTAATTAATTCATTCACTAACTAAAATATACTGAACAAAATAGACTAAGCCAAATGATCAACAGGTAGCAACTAGAAAAAAACTATAAATATTCTCATGTGTGGGTCTAGAATGATGTAAAATTAGACTGTTGCTATAGCGATTAACAACTTAAAACTAAATATAGTGTTTTTTCAATGGGAAAAAGTCCTCAAAATGTTGCTTATAACAGGAAGCTAAAATTCTTGAATAAGCAAATGATGAGAAAGGAATAAGGTGTCAATGTTAAAACACAAATTACAAGCTCATAATTCATTCACTTTTCAAACTAAAATATATTAAATCAAATAGGCTTAGTTAAATGATCAACAGGTATCTATTATAAGGGTTTCAACTTACAGAGTCACCAAGGTCCGCGCTGTCCGTGTGCATATTGTGATTGCCTGTTTCGGTGAGTAGTTGCAGCTCAATAAATTTCATGTTATCTGACCGCCCACTTCTTCATAGCACTTGGCTGGCTGATCCTCGCTTGTGTCAGAGGAAAAATCTGGCTGCCGGGCGAGCTACATCGGCTATTTGAAGCCAGGAGAGCTGCACCACGTGACCACACAAGCAGATGACAATAGGGCTGGAAGATTTTAGGGATTTTCTGATTGTAGTTTGAATTCAATTTGATTTGAGATTGATGCGCTAAAGGCACACTGTGTCACTTCTTGGAAGAAGGGGGTGCTTGCCTTTGTGGGGATGCTCTTATTTTTGCCCAGAATGTTCCACTATATGGCATTAAAGGTGCACTGCGTAACTTTACTCGGAGTGTCCACCACCTGCTTGTATAGAGATGTTATTGCCGACCTCACAGTAAGAATGTTTTCAAGATCAATCCATTTTCGGCCGCTTATCTGGGGCCGGGTCACGGGGGCAGCAGTCTAAGCAGGGACTCCCAGACTTCTTTTACCCCAGACACCTCCTCCAACTCCTCTGGGGGGACCCCGAGGCGTTCCCAGGCCAGACAAGAGCCATAGTCCCTCCAGAGTGTACTGGGTCTTCCCCAGGGCCTCCTTGTGGTGGGACATGCCTGGAACACCTCACGTGGAAGGCATCCAGGAGGCATCCAGAACAGATGCCCGAGCCACCTCAACTGGCTCCTTTCAATGTGGAGGAGCGGCTCTACTCCGAGCTCCTCCCGTGTGACTGAGCTCCTCACCCTATCTCTAAGGGAGCGCCCAGCCCCCCATGGAGGAAACTCATTTCGACTGCAATCTCGTCCTTTCGGTCATTAACCAGAGCTCATGACCATAGGTTTTCAAGATGTTTTCAAGATGCTTTTTTTTTTTTAAATTAAAAGAGAGCGTAATGAAATAAATGCGAGATACATCTTTAATGCTACACTGTGGAACATTGTAGGCAAAGCAATAACATCTGTATGGAGACAAGCAAGTGACAGATCAGAAAAGTTGCATGTGTCCATCCTGTATTGAGTTACAGGGGTTTTATTGCACACATTTGACCTGTAACCTCTATAGCGTCTAGTGGAGTCACTTGCTTGTCTCCTTGGAGTTGAATGAATTTAATGCCATACTGTGGAACACTCAAGGCAAAACAATAACATTTCCATGGAGACAAGCACCAAAAAAGCTTCATAGTGCTTTAAAGTCATACCTGTACCAACCCTGTAAATTTTAGTCTCATAGTCAGAGTGTTATATTACATCCTGATAGTTTGTGGTACAAGCAGCTCTTTGTTTAAAATGGGACTAAATGAAAATGCCTATATATTTCAACCAAAACATTACTAGATGAGGGCGTGTTATGTCAAAGTTACATCAGGCAAAACACTCCATATTGTGCATTCAAATGTATTAATGGATGTAAACAAGGTGTAAGAGGCTGCCGGGGGTAATCCCAGACTGTCGTCGTGAGAGTGAGAATAGTGAGTGGACCTAACTGTTCAAATCTAACCATGTTTCCCAGTCAATAATAATAATACATAACATTTGTATAGTGCTTTTCTAGAAACCCAAATATGCTTTACACAAAGACACAAAGTGTCTTTGTGTATATCTGTCATATAATTTGTCATATAATATCTGTTTTCATATGGACTTGATTTTAGTTTAGCACATCTTAACTTGATCAAAATGAGTTTAGAATATTATATATAATAGATTTCAGGTTCCCTTTAGACCTGCCTTTCTGTTCTCCTTCTAAAATTTTGCTTTGTAACATAATTAATGAAGTTATACAACAATTATTTAAGACTCAGATGTATTAATTACTTAAATAATTTCTTTATCAGCAATTTGCCAACAAGAAACAACACATCCCCTCATATAAATCTCCTATCACAACAGTATTTTTCAATGAATCAGCAAAGCTAATCAAGTTACAGTTATGCAAATGTATGTTATTGCTGCTGTTGCTGTTGGTCTGATTTTGGGAGGTCAGATGACAAAGTAGATAGTTTCAGAGTTTCTGAGACCATAGGGATTGGAGCTTTTGCACTGTACCTGGTTGTGCTGGTTGTCCTTGTGTCTCTGGGCCTCTCTGCTCCGTCGGCTGCTCCACTCCTGCAGCGCCTCCTGGGCTTGGGGTGTCATGAACCCCCCCAAAGGCTTCTCCTGGTCCCAGTTCTGAATCAGACACAGGCTGGCGTACACACTGGTCAGGTAATACCCCCCTGGAATAAAAACAAAATGTACCAATGCTATTCTCGGTTTCTTAAAGGCCCTGAACCAGATTTAATTCCCATGTATTCTCTCAAAATCTCTCTTGCCCCTGTGCAGTTATATTGTAGTTCTTGTGGTCAAAAAAGTTTGCTGCGTGCCGTCTGCATTCAACAAGAAACCATTATATTGTTTGTTAATGAGGAAGAGTTGTTATTAGCTTTACCATGACAGCAAAACTGCACTCAGTCTCAGAATGTTGTTAATAGCGCTTATAAACTCATCATGGCAAATAATTAGGATGGTAAGGTAAATGAGGAATAACTTTGGACCATTGCAAACTAAGCAGGCCAGTCAGTAATCGTGGACAGGAATAGAAGCAGTAATAGTAGATCTACAAAATCTACAGCAAAACAAAAGCAGAAATATAACTACAGGGGGCTAAGAAATCCATATCTTGCACAAGTGTTTGGTGATCATGGTACCTTCTCCTCCAAGCCACGAGGGCTCCAGTAGCTCCATCATGAACTCCACATCGATGAGGAGCTGAGGCCGGTTACACTCCACGATCACATACGACAGAGATGGCAGGAAGTCGTCCCAGCTCACTTCCTGTCCTGAGAGGGAGCAAAACAAAGTGTGACTTTAATGGGCCTAATACTTAATGAACAACCTTAACGCTGAACCCTAGCCTTTTAAAGAGTCATTAAACACCCTCCTGGAGCTTTACTGCACCCTTAAGCAAAATCTGAAAAATCCTCCAGAGTGGATAGTGCCTGGCAGGTTGAGGGGAGCAGGTATGGGGCAAGCTCTGGAGTGATGATTGACAGCCGACGGACAGCCACAACAATCTAACATGGTACGGATCGATGCGCTCCAGACTTTAAAACAGAGTGGACATTTGTGCTCGGGTCACGCCGTTTCCCTTTTCTCCCGACACAGCAGGACATCGCAGTGACCGGTGGTGCCAGGTAGAGGCGGGGCTGAGAGCAGCTTCTCACGTCCTGCCTGTAGACACGAGTGGTTGCCCTCATTACGTAATAACCTGCATCTGACTCATTGGCAGCCGTTAGTCCAACCCGAAATTTGAAATGTCCTGGCCCTAGTTGATCCGAAAGAGGCCGTTACAGACATGGCTTTGACCCAAAAGTCAACAAATATACACTAAAATGCCACAATAAGGCCAGGGATAGGTGTACACATCTATTTTAGACCAATTTACACAGGTAATCAGCAGAAGTGATTTTGGTGTTTAGTGTCTCTTTAATAAGTAGTTACTGAGTGATATAAAAAATCTGAACCAATAGCAAGTAATCCATCCATAAAAAACACTATGACACCAATTTTAACACCACAATGATAAACTAAAAACACACTTTTTTATACAACAAAAAGAAATTATTATTCTTTTTTTCTCTTTTATAAGAAATGTCCCTGGTGTCCTTATTTTGGGAGCGTGCCTATGTTCCTTCAGTTTCAAGGACTTTTTTTTTTCTTTCCAAAATTAGGCCCTATGTTCCCACATTTCTTTTATTATCAATTTGCATCAGATTTTATATCCATTTCTCCTAATTTGGTGGTCAGTTTACAGATGTAATGCAGAGGTCATGGTGCAAAGGATCCTAGGTTGAAATGACTCTGAATCATTCCTTTAAATGCAGTATAAAAATAGGAATGACTTGACTTAGAGATTAATTTTGAGAAAAATCTTAGAAATAAGAAAAATCTTAGAAATAAGGGAACATAGGGCTGACCCCCCTATTTTTTTTTTTAAACAAAACAAAATGTAATTTTCAACACAAAATAATTGATACTTTGCAGCTGATGCCATTGTCATTCCCTGAGGATGTGAGCTTTATTTTACCAGCATGGGACCAGAGAGAGCTGACTTAGTTGGAGCTACAACAGGTGAGCTGATTTGTGCTGTTAAACACGTCTCACACATAAAATTACAGTCCCAAGCTAGCTAGCATTAGCCAACAGTTTTTCAATTAGTCACTCTCACCTTTTTGTTGAAAATCAAACAGCTAAACTGAACCATGAACGCTCGTATCGATCCAGGCTCCTGAAAATGTGCTGTTTTAATCCATTTTGTACTTGTTTCTTGAGTTTTCAGACCATCTGAAAATGTATCTGTTCTTTGTGAATGTGTGCATTGTGTCTTCATGGTAACTACAAACCCACAACAACACAACATTTCCAAAACTCTCATTGAAATTACACAATTTCAAGACTTTTTCAGGCCTGGAAAATGACATTTTCAATTTTCATGACTTTTCCAGGATTTCCATGACCATGGGAACCCTGGATATACGTCAAGACTATTCTAAATCTATTCAGGAAAGGTCAAAATGTGTCCTTATTCTGAACTTGTATTAGTTTCCCAATTAGAATCTGGGATTAGATTTTTTTGACAACCTTACTGCACTAATAGGTGTCCTAACAGACTTTTAAATATACTACTACTGGATAATTTTTATATTTTTACAGAAGTTACAATAATTATGTGCTATAAAAAAAACACTTTTGCGTGATCTTGAAGTTTATTTTTGGTTTTCAAGCCAATTATCTAAAGTAAGAATAAGTTCCTCATTTTGTGTTGCCAGATATCACAACTTAAAAAATTATAAAACACAACATTTTCGATTGCACAGTGTTAGATGAGAGCCTCACCATGTGGTACCCCCATGGCCTTGTGCACACTTTTGCAGATCTGCAGAAGTAGCAGCACTTTGTCTATGGGCGAGTGTGTTCGGTGCATCACAGTCAGCTTCTGTTTGACCCTCTCCACCTCTCTGCTGTCCGGGACCCCAGTGCGGACCCCCAGCTTGGCCATGGCCCCATCCCCCTTCAGACGCACCATGTTCTGGGACAGGCGCTGGCTGGACCCGTCCTGGTCATGGAGGGTCAGCAGGGTCTTTTTGATGTGAGAGCGAAGAGGTCGGAGCACACAGGAAAACATGGCACGCTCCAGGGCAAGGTCTGAAGGGCAAGGAGGGTGGAAGTTAGAGACAATCATTATATAAAAACAATAACTTTAATATCTCAGTAGTTTCGTGATGTCTAAGGATTTCTTAAATGGGAAAAGATTAATATTGCAACTAAGGGCAATGAAGAAAAATTTTAACAGAATACTGCAAATCATTAAAAACTCTGCCTTTAGACTGACAGACTGACACCCCCACACTTTCTTCTCTCCTCTATCTCTTCCTCTCTCTTTACCTTTTTGATTTATTTTTCCTCATTTATAAAATTTTTGATAATATCTGGATTTGACACTTCTTATTAAGATGGTGCTTTATTTTTTTAAGAAGAAAATTAAAAAAAAATAAAAGGAAAAATATGATTATACTGTGATTCCTTAATACAAAATGCCTTTACAAGCATAACTGAACCTAGGATCTTTTTTTTAATCTTATTATCTACTTTATGGCCAGCTAAGAGTTGTCCAAGATGTGTTATATTGGAGTTAATAAAATAGCCCATTAAAAAGCACCTTTATTTGAATAGAACAGGTATAAAAGCAAAGACAGTCTCATTGCAATGCTTATAACACCGTGAACTGCAATATTTTTGCAAAATACTGTATCAGAAATGGTAAATGGTCAAACAGTCACATTTTTATACAGAGCTTTTCCTTCTTCAAGGCACCCAAAGAGGTTTATAACAAGGAATCAGTCCCCCATTCACATACGTATTCTTACAAAAGTGTATACAGACACTAGTGAGATGGGTTAAGTGTCTTGCCAAGGACACAACAACAGCATTCATCTGTTTGAGCTGGAATTGCACTGCCAAACTGTGGATCGAACTGTGGACCTGACCACCCTACCAATGATGTTTATGCCGAAAGCAGGATTCAATGAAGAGTGGGCTATACTTCTTGAAAAAATGTAAACAGTAACAAATCTAGACATTCAGAAACCACAGACATCATCAATAAGATAGTTAAAATGGACAAACAATTATACAAAATAGTTCAAAGTAGTTAGAATTAAAATGTATATAAAGACAGCAGTTAATATAGCACATTTTTGGTCTACATAAATGCCAGTGGGTGGAGGTTAGGGCTGGGTATCTCTAAGAAGTTGTCGATAAGATACATGCCTCAGTACATATGCCACAATACGTTACATACCTCGATACAGTCCACTTTCTAATTGATACGATATATTTCAAATCGATTCGATACGGTTCAATTAAAAATGTGGCTAAATCATGACTGTGATACTAAAAGTCTTTGTGAAACCACTTCTGTGCAAAGTTAATATGAAACACTCCCATTTTAATCCTCAAAACAGTGAAAATATCAAATGAATGTAGTTTCGTTCCTCTAAATGAGCAACAAAACTGTAGCACTGTAACACATAAATATGTCAAATATACCAAAAAAAATACTCTTAGCAATATATCGATACAGCAGCCCACGATATCGATACTGTATCATCACATTAAACGATACAATATATCTGTATTTTTACATACCCCTAATGGAGGAGTATTCCAGCTATCAATCATGTTCTGAACATCAGGGGATTCTTGTATTAGTTTATCATTTCATATTCAGTCTTCTCTCAAATGTTAACACTCCCTGGGATGTTTACAATGTGCAATGACTACTTTTTAAACATAAATTGCCAATTTAACCAAAACATTTTTCCCCAAAAGAGAGCAGCCCTTCCCCAATGATGTAGTCAGTCATATATATATGTTGTTTGAATGGGATACGTTTCCTGCTGGTACTGCTGATAATAACATGCACTATTTGCACTAAATCGATATGTCATCTGTTCGTGTGGTTCGTGTGGTGTTGCCTCACTGTATTTGTTATTACGTACAGTATATGCTAAACTTCAGCATGTGGGACTGATTAATCAGTGCCTTGAAAATGGCACTAGAGCGGTGAGGGGGATAAAATATGTAAAAAGTGTAGGACAGTGAAGTGTTTAAGATGTGTGCATATAAACAAAACAACAGCACATTCACGTATTTGAGTCATCTATTTTGTACTGTATGTTAGGGCTATAAGATTAAGGCTACAAAGGCTACAATTTTAAATTTTTTGTAAAATGTGGTGACCTGAGACATGTGTACATTTGTCTTGAAAGATGCAAATGGTTGTGTTATTTTGTGGTTTGACCGATTTGGTCTCTCTTGAAAAAGGGATTCTGAATGTTAAGGAGACCTCCTGGTTCAAAAAAGGTACAATAAAATAAATTCTGCAATTGATTTTGGCAATTTCTTTACCCACCCCACCTGTTTCTTTTTTCTTTTCTTTTTTTTTTTGTGCATTTAGAATAGTTTTTGTCATAATTTATCTTTAGGGTTATTGTGTCACTGGTAGGAATTTGTTTCAATATGATCATTTATAATCCATGTAGCCTATCATTCGGTCATTTGTTTTTCAATATAAAACCAAAAACAAGAAAACAAAAAATTTACAGTTTTCTTCATTATTTGTTTCCAAAACCAAAATTAAAAAAACAGATAATGATTCGTTTTTTCAGTTTTTGATTTTAGATTTAAATGGATAACGGCCATTTCCCGTTTACGTGACTTAAACTGCAATGCCGGACTTTTGCGATGCATACAGACTGAACCAGGACTAAAACAGGACTAAACCCAGTCTCAGTCCCGGTCTCAATCATGGTCTGGTCCTGGTCTGGTCCCGGTCGCAGTCTCGGTCCAAGTCCTGGTCCCAATCCCGGTCTGGTCCCGGATCCGTTATCTGTTTTTCTATTATTCATTTAAGCACAAAATCGAAAAGTGAAAAAACGAATCGTTATCTGTTTTTTCATTTTGGTTTTGGACACAAATAATGAAGAAAATAGTTGTTTTATCATTTTCTTATTTTTGGCTTTATATTGAAAAACGAATGAATGAATGATACACGGATTATTTATGGTCTATATTTTCTTCAGCAGTATATTGCACTTCAAATTTATTTGTTATAGTGACAGGCCAAACAATATGTTTTTATATATATTTTTTTCCCACCCCAAATATTTCTTTACGCGTTTGCCTGGACTTGTATTAAATTTAACCAAAATCTCTATTTGAATGTTTTTCTTGACAATTAACAAAATACCTTATTAACCCTGTAGTAAATATCTGTCTAAACATCTTCTGAAATGTGATTCTTGTGAGTATTAGTTTGTCTGCTCATTTTTAAAATCTTTGTCAGTTCTTCTAAAACATAAATCACAACTGATAGTTCGGCCCTACTATGGTACCTATTTAGTATCATGCACACGCGCTCCTCTGTTTAAACCATCAGTGGGCTGTCTGCCTTTGGTGCCTAACAAGTGCTCAATGTTTTCAGTTCATCCTCCCATCCAATCATCTCTCTATCTATCGCTCTATCTCTCCATCCTCTTCCTCCTTCACTCCCTCAATAACACAGGGCCCTCTGCGACACCATCTCCGCTCACGACTTTCCCCTTAACTCACTTACTGCGTGAAATTACAGTAACCAGGCAGACATTTGAAGCATAAGTGTATCTGATTACATTTTCAAAGTAGCTTGCACTATTTTCATCGCGCTCTCCTCCCTCTCTCCCTCCCACTTGGCCGTGAATCGTGCCGCGGTTGGAGTGAGCGTAGGACTGCGATATCTTTTTATGATAAACGAGGGGGAGAGGAATAAATGCAAATGCCTCAACCACCGACGCAAAACTGAGATAGATCTGAATCAGGGAGGACAGGAGGCGAGGAACTAGGAAGAGAAGAGAGAAGGACGCAAAAGCAAGGGAGGAAATAAGAGTGGAATGCCGCGGGATCAAAGCACGGCACTGTACCTGCTCAGTTATGTTTACAAAGTCATCCATTTTAGTTTTAGGGCTGTGCAAAGGATCACAGCGGAATTGAGATCCAGATGTAGTCACATGTAATCGTCAATGATCAGCATGAGAGTTTTTAATGGAGAGGTCAACAGTGAATCCTTTCAGTCAGTAAAAGCATGTGGTTTGGGGAGTTCAGAGTTTTTAATTTTAATTGAGTGAGGAAAATTCGGGTTTTTGCCATATCGCCCAACTCTATATTTATTATTTTCTCATGTAAGTCCTCTTAGAGTGTCCAAAAAGTGCATAATACTTACATTTTGGAAGAAATAACTAGATTTATGTTGGGTTGTTTTATGAATTTGAGCCAAGAATTCCTATTGTTATAGCTTTAAAATAAAAAATGCTCTTTGTTTTTATGTGAGCTTAGGATGAAAACGAAGATTTCTTAGTTCGTGTATTCTTCTCAGTCATTAATTATTAAATATTAGGGATGTAACAATAACCAAAATATTGCGTTATTGTATTGTCAAAGTTCTCACAATAACATCATGGACCATCACAATATATCGGAAGTCTCTTTGTTTAAATTAAGAGTTATTGTGCAGGAATAGCTAAAAAAAAGAACTACATAGACCATGATCCTTTGCTCCATTTCAGTGCATACTACAAGAAGAAATAACAGTTCTAAGCACTTTTAAGTCTTAGTTCTTTGGATTAAGTCTTGTTAAGGCAGTTTAAGAGGAAAAAGTACCATATTAACAGTTTTGTTTGCCTCCGCAAAATATTTCAGTAAATATGAGATGTATATCGTAAAAATATTGTACCGAGAGATTTGGATTTTATTATTACATCCCTAATCGTGAGCCTCCCCACCATATCGTGAGCTTTCCCACAATATCGCAACAAATATCCTACCGTGAGGTTCATACCGTGAAGATACCCTATCGTGAGATATCGTGGATATCATTACACCCCTATTAGATATACTCAATACTTAAATAAAAGGTGTACAAAAATGATAATATTGCTACTAGGGATGTAACGATATCCAAATCTCACAATACAATATTTTCACGATATACATCTCATGGTACTATATTTATTGCAGTATTTGTGGAAGTTAACAAAACTGTGATTGAGAAATATGCTACTTACTTCTTCAAAAAAACATTAATACTGTTAATAATGGTGCTGTTGTAATATGAAGAATTAAGATTTAAGTGTTATTAATGTTAAGTCTCCATTGACAATACCAAAGGATCATGGTCTATGTAGTTCCCTCTGTTTTTTTAGCTATTGCTGCACCCTAACAATGAATTTAAGTAAAGAGACTTGTAGTTCGATATATTGTGACCGTCCACGATATTATTTAGACATTTGACGATACAATATCACAATATTTTGGTTATTGTTACATCCCTAATTGCTGCTATTACAGGGAATCTAAAGTGAATTTGCTCGGTCTCTACCACTAAAAAGAAAAGGAAACATAGAATCACAGTAACTGAACATTGCACAGCCTCTCTCCTTTTCTTTCAGTCCTGAAGCATCATCTGAACTATCCACCACATTCACACACAAACACACACACACACACAACCACGCACACTCACACACACACACACACATTATGAACCATCCAACACATTCACACACACCTGCAGAAAAACAACATCCAAGCTGAGCCCACGCACACACATCTAACCGCTGAGTCTCACATGGAGCTGGCTGCGCTGCACTGGAGGGCTTCCCTAATGCTGTTTTCTAAATGCAACGATGGAGCCGCACCCCCCACGCAAAACTACTTTGTGTTGACAGTGCCTTTCAGTGCGGCCCACCATTTACTCAAGCTGTCTGTCTCCTCTGGCACCACCGCTACTCAATCACGGCTGCACAATACTCCAGCTTTGGTCTGGATTTTGGTTAGTTTCAGAAATAACAAATATTTTTATGATATATTTAAAGGTGCATTGAGCAAATTTTCTGGTGGAGGGTCCGTCAAATGTTTTTTCTCCGTGGAGATGTTATTGCTTTGTCTGGAATGTTTCTATCTTCATGGAGACCAAATCAGACCAAGTTACAGGTCAGATCTGTGGAGAGGCGACCCCGCTCACAGTCAGAATGCCTGTTTTCTAGGTATTTTTGAGCTATAACACCACCTGTAATTTAATAAATGCAAAGTAAATCTGTTTAATGTCATACTGTGGAACATTTCAGGCAGAGCAATGAGATATCCATAGAAACCAGCAGGTGATGGACCCCCAACCAAAAAGTTACACAATGCAGCTTTTAAGTATTTAGTCTACATGTGTTAATTTGACTTAATGGACTCAGCGTTTGGGCAGAGGTACTGAAGAGGTACTGATGAGCTTAGCCCTGTATTAGCACAAATAGGTAAAGGGAATTGTGTTGTGCATTTGTGGACATGAAAGATGTCTGTGATTTCTACTCTGTTGTTGTGATGTTCACCTAATCAGTTTGTGTGTATTTTATACATCTGAATGTTCCATCTATTGCTGGCTGCTTTCAGTGAGAACCTAGCCAGGTTGGCACTACCTAGTGCCTCCACTTAATTTCATTTCTCTCCGGCGACTAAGTCAGGAATCAGAATACACTAGACGAATTGCAAGAACCCCAGAAGTTGTTGACTGTGCACCGGCCAATCAGCGAAGAGCTGTGAAGCCATGACTGGGTCCCTTTTGTGGTAAAGCACAACAGTAAACAAAGCGGTCGAGATGGATGTAGACGAAGCCATAGATTCTGTGTTGGCAACAATTCCTGAGGTCGAGGATTTAAAGCTGGAGCAAAGAGAATGTTTGGTGAATTTTATCAAGGGGAAAGACGTTATTGCCCTTCTTCCTACGGAATTTGGCGCATTACATACGTCACGACCAAACAGCCCAAGTACCCGCCTACCGTCGAGTGAAAGAATCCTAATGCTGCAAGGTCAGACAGTTTCCACAAAGTGAAACCGGCTGATGAATCAGGCTAGTGAGAACTATCACAGACTCACAATGTGTATCAAATCAGAGTACTACTTATATCAATATGGTTTCTGTGCAAAGAATACATTGGCTTGTAAGCAATTGTTTGTCTATTGACTAAACATTGTATTAAAAATATTAAAATATATAATATAACTTAAAATGAAACAAAATCTATCCAAAAGAGATGGCAGATATCTTCCCTTTAAGTGCCAAAGGATTCTACTAAACCACTAATCAACTACAATTGTCTGTCTGAGTCTCTCCTGGTTGAATATTTAGTGTTTAGTGTATTGCTCTTAGATTTTGCCAGTCTAGTAGGTTTATGGCGCAAAAGTACTTACAAAAGTACAAAATCAGTACCCAAATTACCTGTTTCATTCTCGGGGACCAGTGTCTCTATGGGGGGCTCCAACTCTCCACTGTCCAGCAGGCAGCACTTGGCCTGGGACAAAAACATCCTGACGCCCTGAAGGAGCTGCACTGACGTCACACGAGGAGCAGACAAAGATGACACCAGAGCCTTCAGCGCCTCCCTTTGAGTCAGCAGAAAGTCCTGAACCATGCCCCCAAATGTAGATCGCCTGTCTCGGGACAGCTCCTCCACGAGCCGGGTCAAACGCTTGTCTGGAGCAAAGAAACACACAAACGCCTCGCTCATTCTATGAATCCCGCCACGGCCCCTGGAGCGGACCAGAGGGGGGCGCTGTGAGCTCTGTGGCTGTGTTTCGGACATGCTTTCAGAGTCTGAGTCGGAGTCCATGCTGCTGAAGGAGCTGCTGCTGTCCAGTTCGGCCAGAGAGGGAGCGGGGCGTCTCTCCAAGGCCAGAGCCGACACCTCAGTGCTGGACTGTCCCACTGGAGCAGGAGGAGGGGGCGCAGGGGGCTCCTCTGCTTTACCTGCCTGGGATAAAGAGGGAAAATGAAGACAGCTGATGATGTTTTAGATAAACTGTGAAGTGGAAGTGGCTATGTTTGTAGTGTATACACTGACACTGTATGTAATTGTATGCCATTTATTCAGTCTTGTGCATTGCACAACACTCACCTGAGATTCCCAAATTGTCAAAAAATAACAGTACGGACAAAACTTCAAATATAGAAAAAAGACACGCACACTGAAACACTTCTGAAACCTGTGTGCTGAGTCCTGAGCTTGAGTCGAAGTTCAAACATCTATCATTATTTCATGATCAACGATCGAAGCTTGGCAAACACACATACTTGTGTGGTGTGTACAGCCATCATATCATCCTCTTCTGCAGAGCCAGGGGACACAGCGGGGGTCCTCCTTAGTACTCCTGCCCCAGCGTGAAGCCTCCTCTGTGGGTTGGGCTTCTGTGTTCGCCCTGCTCCGTCCTGGTCCTGGGACAGTGGTGGAGAGAAGGAGCCTCCCTCCAGAGACAGGTTCATGGACGACTCAGAGAGCCTCAGTCTCATGCTGCGTTTGAACCTGTGCCGTTTGTTGGAGGCGCTGTGGTTTGCGAGCTGCTGCTGTTGCTGCTGCTGCTAACGAAATGAAAACAGCTCAAATAAATATTCTTTAACTTTAACTTTAATTTTAACTTTAAAATATTAAATTTAAAATATCAAATTGTGGTGGAAACTAAACTGTACTAAAAAAAACTAGTTACAAGACTATAAAAGTTAAAACCATACTTTCTTAATGGTGACAGATAAGTTTTATGCCATACTGTGGAATATTCCAGCAAAGAAACAACAGCTCCATGGAAAAAAGCAGATGGAGACCCTACCCCAGGCCAAATAAGGGTCAAGTTTGTGAAAATGCAATCCCACTCACAGTAAAGACGCATGTTTTTCAGTGTAATAAATGCACACATAATGAAAAAGCATGCTTTTATTTTAGTTTACCTGCTGGCGATTTAATGCAATTCTTTATTAATTAAACAGATTAAAGCTACATAAAGTAGTCTGTTTAATAAGAGCAGGCGGTGCAGTGCTGTTATGTTTGTTTGTTTATTTGTCTGTTTGTTTGTTCGTTTGTTTGTTTGGCAATGAAGAGAGCAATAACACAACCGCTTTTTGGGATGATTGGATCAGTACTGAAGAAGAAATTTGTGTCCAGTTGACAGAATTACATTTTTTTTCTACTCTCAATGAGATCCAATCCTAGCAACATGGCTAGAGCTACAAGATTTGATCACTTGAGAGCTGCTACATCCTCTCATTTTGTGCAACGCTATCAAATTTCAACAAATAAATCTAACTGAAACAGGCAGTACAAAAGAATATAATATTTTTGCTGTTACTAACCTTTAAGACCTCCAGCTGTAGGAAGAGTGGGTTGATGAAGCAGAGTTTGCCCTGTCTGCCTCGGGTCATGTTCAGGTTCCAGTCCTGGTTCACACTCTTCAGACTGCTGCTTGTGGAGGGACCTTGCTCCACCGGGCCGTTCTGGACCTCCGAAGCATTTGGGGAACTCCAGAAATCTGCAAACACCAATAATGAACAGTAAAGCCTTGGAATAGAATCTAAATTTCAGTTGGTGCAATTATCAAATCACAAAAGCTGCAAATATTTAGCAGTGAACAAAACATCCTGTATTTTGATGCTTCTTGTTGTAGCCTCTCTGTCTGTATTAGATCTCAGCAAATATGTTTACATTCTCAATATAACTAATGCTCCTGGACTTGTTTACAATTGAAGAAAATCATACTTTTTCAAATACTGCTAGAAAAATCACTACTACTTTCTTCCAAAATTGGCTCCACCATCAACCCAAAACATGCCCCATAGGTTAAGTCCTGCAGCTAAGGCAGTCCTGATCAAGCCTAGCAACAAAATTATGGAGATAGATCCCCTGGTGCCCCATGTGCTGCCCACTGCTCCTGAAAGGATGAGAAAAATGCAGAGGAGAATTTCCCTACAGGGATAATAAAAGTAGCTGCCCTCATTGACTAAGATTACTTTTGTACCTGTTATTTATTTCCCTAAAAAACAGTCAATAAGTTTTGAGTATAAGGTACTACAGTTGGTTTGCACTATTGCTTTGCCTCAGAGAAGCCCATCTTAGATCATCCTTCAGCCCATTCAGACCCAATGACATTATGTTCAGACCATATGAAACTAGCAGAGGTGGGACCAAATTGTTGTTTTGCAAGTCTCAACTAAGTCTCAAGTCTTTGACCTCAAGTCAGAGTCAAGTCCCAAGTCAAATACAGCCAAGTCCAAGTCGAGTCTGGAGTCACTGTCCCAGAAGTCCAAGTCAAGTCCAAGTCGTCTGCTTTGAGCTTCAAGCCATTTCAAGTCTGTAAACCAAGCTTAGATTTTCGCAATTTATGACTTTTAAGATAAATTGTACCTATAAAGTCATACTATATTTACATGTGACTATTTATAGAGTATGTAAGAGTTGTAGAAATGCATTTTTTTTCATTTTTAAATGTCTTGACAAGATTGTAGTGTGAATCATTACAGTCAGAATAGAAAGAATTCAGATTTCAAAGTTCTTTTCAAGTCTTCTGAGTCTGAGTCAAGTCCCAAGCCACTAACCTTCAAGTCCAAGTCGAGTCCCAAGTCGTAGTCCATTTTATCAAGTCAAGTCTCAAGTCCTAAAAATAGTGATTCAAGTCTGACTCGAGTCTAAGTCACGACTTGCAAGTCCCCATCTCTGAAATCTAGTATATTATATTATATAGTCATATATAAAGTATGTTACACAACCAACTAGAATTTTGCATTATCTTAGATGTCTCCATAAAGTATTCACAGTCTACAGTTGTTTCAAGGTTTTTCGGTTGCAAAAGTGAAGCAGGAAAAAATAGTTCCCTGACCGGGAATCGAACCCGGGCCGCGGCGGTGAGAGCGCCGAATCCTAACCACTAGACCACCAGGGAGCGCTGTACAATCTCTGAAAAAACACCAAGTTTCTCTGACCACCTCAATACGTAGCTTACACGATTTAGCAGGTAAATATTGGTTATTATTTTGCAAGTAATTATTGTTAATTATAAAACAGGAAAGTGCACATTTCATCAGAGGGAATGCATGTTTTAACACGAGAAACAGCGCTTGTGTCTGTGCGTGGAGTTTTTGCAATAGTTTGATATTTAGCTAATAACGTACAAGCTAAAAATCGGAAATGTACCAAGAAAACGAGAGAAAACACATACAAAATTGGCAAACTAGGCTGAAAACATGCTATTAAGTTTAATCAACGTGTTATATTTATTATTAGCCTAATTAGTGCGTTAATGTTTGTACCTTGGCCCATGTGGGAGATGGCCTCCAGCTGTCTGTGTGTTGTGGCTTTGGCGATAGCGTCTGGGAGCTTCAGTGGAAACGGGAGCACATCTCTGAAACACACAACAATTCAACTATCCTTCAATATACAGGTCTACAGACAATAATCTTTCACCTGCCTCTGGTTCATAGACTGTATGCACTTTCCTTGGGTTACAGAGTCATTTATTATGATTTAGTGCACTCACTGTATGAATCAGCGCCAATTACTTTAATATATTTCTTATGCTTCAAGTGCCAAAGTTCATATTGGCAATATTTAGGCTAATGTATGTTCATTATGAAGCACTCAGTGGCTGAAAAATAACCCAGATGTAATGTTTCTTAGCCTAAATTAATAATAGGCTGCTCTCTACTACTAGACCATTACAATAATCTTTGGGTGTTATCTCCAGCTCTTCTCTTCTCCTGCTCTGTGCTGCACATAGACTGGTGCAGTAGCTATGCCATATGAGCTATACAAGGGTGATCAGATGTCCCTATTCACCCGGGATAGTCACAATTTTGAGCCCTGTGTCCCCCGTCCCAGGAGATTTATCCAAAGCCAGTGATTAGTCCTAGTTTTATGCAAGAAATGTCCCAGGTGTCCTTATTTTTGATCCTTGCCAGCAGTAAAGAGTGGCATAAATTGTCACCTGTTTAGGTAAAATACAAAAAACTGCTTAAAAATGATCAAAACGCAAAAAAAATTTGACTATACTGACTCACATTAGTGCTGAGTGCATAACAATTTTCCTTAATTACACACTCGTTTCACAATTTTATTATTACCCACCACCCCAAACTAGAGATGTTCCAGTTTTTTATTTTGAAAATCTGGTCACTCTATGCTATACACATACAAAACAACTATTTTCAGAAGTTAATATATAAGTTTGTATATTTGTCAGGTTTGTTTGTTTGTTTGTTTGAACCGGAGCTTTACCTGCTGATACAGTAGAAGGCCACCAGTCGACAGAGGTCGGGGAAGCTGAGTGCTGAGCTCTCCAAAGCAAAGGCTGTAAACACAAATAGATACAGCTTGAGAGAATGTGGGTAGCCTATAGTACATTTACATTTCATAGTGGAATAGTAGTAGAGCCATTTGATCCATTTGTGCAGTTCCAAAAACTCAGGTGAATGAATGAAAGCAGTGCCGCGTCTGGGATTCCCTCTTCATCTGGTGCCAAGATTTGACAGGACCTCTAGTCTGAACCTGCTATTTCTGTTTTAGGTTGATCGGGGAAAAAGAAACATCACAAAGAAACAAACACAGGAGGAATCCGCACATGGTCTGGGAATTGGCTCAAAGTGGTAAGAGTTCTAACCCCTGTGCCACCTAGGGATGTTAAGATTATTAGGTTAATTGATAATAAGGGTACTGGCAGTGTGACTAGCACTAAACTCACAATCCCTCTTTCTGTTTGGAGTTTGCATGTTCTCCCTGTGTCTGCATTGGCTTCCTCCAGGCACTCGACCATCAACCCAAAACATGCACAATAGGTAAAATCTTGCAGCTCCAGTAGTCCTGACCAAGCCTAGCTCAAGATGTGGGCATGAGTCCTTGAGCTCTGTACAAGAGGAAAAGTGATCTATTAGACATTGGGAATGAAATTACTAAACTTCATTTATGTCAATACTTGTGAATAACCATAATGTTTTGTATTGCATTTAGTCAGTTTTAATCGCAGTTATTTCTAATCGTGAGTGATCGAAAGGTCCGTTTTGAAATGTAACTATTTTTGTATTAAATGGCACTAATTTAAAGTCTCTGTTCAGAAATGTATCTGAAAGCCAATTCTATGATTCATTTTCTGTCATATCGCCCAGGCTTATACTCACAATAATGGCAGCACCAAGCTATAAGCAGCCCTGACAGAGAGCTGGCTGTTGTACTCACTGGAGTCCTCCTCACAGATGAAGCACTCTTTGACTGACGAGGCGCTTCTGTCCGATGTCACTCTCAAACACAGCACTTTCCTCTGGCTCGAGCTGCACTTACGAACCAAAAAGGTCTGAAACAAGAGACAGTTCTCACTTTACATATATGCATTTGTCTGATAATCATACTAGACAGTTCTTCATTCATATTGTTCATTCACTGCGGTCAAGCTCATGGTGATCTCCACAGGGGCAGATTGTTGGTGTGTGGCAGCTATACTGTGCCTTAAGCCATGTGGTGGTTAGTGCCCAATTAAATTTACTAAGTTATATTTTCTTGATTTCTTGTACTTGATTACTTTTTTTTTTCTTTTTGGAAAATTGTCCTTCTCTGAGTAGCTTTCACTTCAGACACCATATTACTCCAACTTAAGTATTATATTTTACAGTGTAACCGTACTCTTTCTAAAAGATTTGTCAAAAGCTTTATGTTGAGTATATTAAATTATTTGAACATTTAGTTTCCTTCATGGCCTCTCCAGGTATGATTTATCTCATCATTGAGTGATGAATCAGTTCATATTGCACATTTTAAGCACGTCTATATATATATATATATATATAACATTTCAGAGAAGAGTGAAGTATAAACTGATAAACTAAGACTAGACTCTCATGTCTGTAGAGGTCTAAAGTGTAAAACTACAAGGGCAGCAGGTATTATATATGTAATAAGAGATATCTTTCTGGAGATTTGTTATATTTGTAAAGGACATTATACTATCTAAATACAGTTATTGCATGCAATTGCCATTTGCGAATAGTTTTCATTCAATTGTAATTTAGATTTGCAGCTCTAGGACTCTATCTAACCCTGGAAACTACTCAATTAACTAATGTTTGTGCCTTAACCAATGTTACAATTGAATACATAAGGTACTTTACCAGACAAAAATTTTGACACACCATCTCATTCAGTGTTTTTTTTCTTTATGTTTACTACTTTTGACATTTTACATACAGAAGACATCCAAATATATGAAGTAAGAAATAAGGAATTATGTATGAGACTGTATGTCTAAACTTTTGACTGGTGTTGTTTAAACACATATGACCAGTCAAAAGTTTGGACACACCATCTCATTCAGTGTTTTTTTTTTTTCTACATTTTATATACAAATGGAAGACACGAAATATGTGACGCATGATATGTGGAATTATTTAGTAAAGAAAAAAAGTTAAATAGCGCTACTAAATATTTTTCAAGAAAGCAGACATTGGCATATATATGAAACACACATTTCTTTGTGACATAATGCCACGTATCTTACTTCATATATTTGATGTCTTCTGTATGTATATCAAACGTAAAAGCAGTAAACATATAGAAAAAAGTATTTTGTGAGAGATCCAACCTTTTGAAGGAATAATTTCAATGGGATAATTTCAATAACAGAACAAAAAAGCCTTTATCCCAGTATATTCCATAAATACACAATCCCATGTTAACAGATGCATTCATATTATGTTAAACAAACCATTTAACAGCGCTGACGCTAACGTGTGAACCGTAGTGTGAAATATTATCTTAAACATATGGACCATCAATTCATATGTACAGAAACAACAAAACAGATTCATACTGCTATGGCAACAATATTGGGCCAAACATGTCTTCCTCAGGCAAAACTTATCATCATTTAACAGAAGGTTTTCTTGTATTCTGTGGCTGTATTTATTGTTAGCTGTTTATCAAAATGTTACAACGTGCTTTACAGGGCCTATATTACACTATTTTATGACCTGTGTGATAATGTTTCCTCATCAAAAACATACCTAGAGTTGTGGTTTGTTTGATTCACACACATAATCCTGCATATTTAGGTGCTAAGTTCTTCTCTCAAACAGAAAAAAAAAATGTTATGATGTTGTGTGATAATACAGGAAGTGCTCCACTAAGTTTTTAAACTCCATACAGCTCCACCAGAATCATATGGAGGATTTCAGCCCTGGAATTGCCAATCTCAGTTGAACTAAGGGTAAAAGGTAGCTGTCCACCCATTTATCCATCCATCCATTTTCTTCCACTTATCCGGGGCCAGGTCATGGGGGCAGCAGTCTAAGCAAGGACTCCCAGACTTCCTCCTCTCAATGTGAAGGAGCAGCGGCTCTACTCTGAGCTCCTCCTGTGTGACTGAGCTTGTCACCCTATTTCTAAGGGAGCGCCCAGTCACTCATTTTGGCCGCTTGTATCTGTGATCTTGTCCTTTTGGTCATTACCCAAAGCTCATGACCATAAGTGAGGGCAGGAACATTGATTGAACAGTAAATCAAGAGCTTCAACTTTCGGCTCAGCTCTCTCTTGACCCCAATGGTCCGATACAGCGACCACATCACTCCTGACGCTGCACCGAGATACTTGAACTCCTCCACTTGAGACAAGGACTCTCCCCCCACCCGGAGAGGGCAAGCTACCTTTTTCCGGTCCAGAACCATGGCCTCAGCCTTGGAGGTCATGCAGAAGGAGCAGTTTACTGCCATTTCATGACATCATAAGGTGGAACAGAGCATTTTGAGCTTTGGAGATGTAGACAGACTAATAATAAAGCATTACTGAAACATGTGCTAAAGAAACAAAACCCAGCTCAATCTATGTTTTGAGGAGGTAACAACATTCAGTCATGGCTTAAAGCTCACAAGACATGACTTTGTGTTATTGGACCATACATATTTTCTGTCGGGTGCTCCGTCACCTGCTCGTTTCCAAGGAGATTTAATTACTTTACATTTGTATTCATTCTGCATTTATCCAGTCAGTTGTTTTTATTTTCCAAAAATACTTTGAAAAACATGTATTCATACTCTGTGCAGGCCTTCCTCTTAACAGATCTGAGCTTTATTTTGACGTGGTGGGTTACCTGCTTGTCTCCATGGAGATAAATATGTTTAAAGCCATGCTATGGAACAAGCAAAACAATAACTTAACTCCATAGAGATAAGCAGGTGTACTTCATCTCCCTCCACCAAGAAAGTTACATAGTACACCTTTAATATATTGCATATATTACTTCAAGTATGTGTTTACTTGTTGAACTTTTGATGCTGTAGTAGCAAAATGCATTTTAACATGTCTTTAAACATATTTATTGTTATAATTATCTGGCCCCAGTTTGAGTCAGTACTTTTCCATTGAAACTGGCATTCCTCTGTCAGGTGCATCCGCTCACTGTCCAGTCCTCCACTCATTATTTATGTCATGATGACCTGTGTACATACCTTTGTACTGCCCGTATGAAACCCAGTGTGGGACTGCCCCATGCTCTCTCTCTCCTTCTTCTACCTGATCTTTTATCTTCTCTATTTGCTCTTTCTCTTGCAAGAGAATAAACACCACAAACACAATTGTTTGACTCAAGATCTCTATTTCGTTCTCACCCAAATATTTCCACAGCAGTGCTCGCTGTGTAGTGCTTATGAAATAGTCAAAATGCATTCAAAACAAACATTGTCATCATCAGCTCAGTCATATGTAGGTGATTTGTGTTTGGTCTGACCCCCACAGGCTCCCGTAGCAGGATGTAAACAGCAGACTCCTGGTTGAGTGCGAGCTGCAGCCACACGGGGTGAGTGAGGAGCAGTCGGTCCAGGACACTGAAGACCCTGTGTGAGGCTCTGGCACTGCCCCCCTCCTGCATCTGTCAAAACAACAAACAACAAGGTCAGTAAACACATGATACATAACACTTACTGTTTATTTAAACCAGGGCAGATTTAAAGAGACACAATGTGGAATGATTAGAGAATAGAGAAAACTGGATCCCAGCTGGCAGGTGCGACCACAGCGGCAATTTCTCAGTGACTACAAAGGATATTTTTCAGATTTTACAAATTTTTTCAATTTCTAGTATAGTGTTGATAGTGTTATCTAGTATAGTATTATAGTGTTCCAGTGTAATAGGGGATCAATCAAGCTACAGACACTCAACAAATTATTTAAATTCATAAAGGTGCACTATAACTTTTCTGAAGGAGGGTCCACAACCCCCTTGTCTCCATGGAGATATTTTTGCATGGGATATTGTATTAAATTGAGGTGTGGTGATTTTTTTCAGTTTTTTCGGACTATTAGGCGCACTTAAAATCCTTTATTTTCTCAAAAATGCGCCTTATAATTGGGTGCGCCTTATGTATTAATTCTGGTTGTGATTACTGACCTCTAACTGATTTTATGTGGTACACAGCGCTCAAAAATCTGTCAAAATGTTTTAGTTCGACTTTGGTAAACTACGAAGCCACACCGCTCGATTGATTGTTTTGGTAGTTTGGAAGTTTTGTTTCTGTAAAATGTAAACAAATGTGTGCAAAGCTGCATTAAACACATTATTACTCAATGTATATTTGAGTCCTCCTCATAACAACAAAAAAAAACTTAAATTATCCACCCACATTCACCTGGGCTAAGAGATCAGTCTCAAGTGTCGTCCGTTTGTTTCTCTCTTGTAATCTGCAGCGCATTATGTGTGAAAATAGATGAGATAATTCAGTATTTTTTATATTTCACGTTATAATCCAGTGCACCTTATAGTCTGAAAAATATGTTACAGTGAACGGACTTGCCTTTCCACATATCTGACCTATAATTTGGCCTGATGGAACAACCTGCTTCTAAATCAATAACATCTCCATGGAGACAAGCAGAAGGTGGACCCTCCAACAGAAAGTTACTTAGTGAACCTTTAAACGAGTCTTCCTGATTGAAATATAACTCATACAAAACACATTTGGGCTCTTTTGGGTTAACAATGAAACAGATGGACCCAAAAATCCAAAGCTTCTGATATTCACCAGATTTCAAACTAGAATCTGATTATTCAAATTTTGGTGGGAGCATTTGAATTCATGAATGACTGAACAGTTGACTGAAAAGTTATTTAATACATCTTTAACTGCATCTCTTCATCATTCATACTAGTAGTGCTGTCTTGATAAAAACTGAAATTAAAATATAGCAGTGTAAAAATACTATACTCAAAATGTATGTTCGTTTTCACTGTCAGGAAATTTCTGAATTAAAACATCCCTTTAATCAAAACTAACATGCAATTTTACACAAAAAATAACAGTGCAGATCACAATTGTAGCACACATTTGGAGTGATAAGATTCTTTCACATTTTAACACTGTTTTTGGACCCTTTCACGCAACATTACACACCACAGAGCAGAACAACATGCTCTGTCCGGAGTGGTACAACCTGCTCCCTCTTCACAGCCACAAAATACTCGTTGTTACACAGAGATTTACTGTGATGACAAAGACAACACTGCATAATCTAATCTAGAACCGCTGACCTGTTTAATACCATCAGAAGTAGGAGTGTCAAAATAATCAATAATCAGATACTAATACGAACTGAACTGAACTGAAGAAGCAGCTTGGATGAACTGCGAAGTGTTTTCAGCCTAACTAAACGTTTGTCCAGTTGACAAATTGAATTTCTCCTGTGCCACAGATACTAATCAATACTGAACTAGAATCAAAGCTAGATACTCATTTGACCAAGTATTCATTCTAAAAAGGCTGTCTGTTTATAGGATGTGCTATATAAACAGGGCTGGGTATCGTTATGAAGTTGCTGATACGATACATACCTCAATACATAAGCCACGATATGATATATATCTCGATACAGTGCACTTTTGATTCAATACAATATATTTCAAATCGATTCTATACGATTCAATAAACATAAAGGCTAAATGATGACTGTGATACTAAAATCCAGCCATCCATTTTCTTCCACTTATCTGGGCCTGGGTCACAAGGCAACAGTCTAAGCAGGGACTCCCAGACTTCCTTCACCCCAAACATGTCCTCCAGCTCCTCCAGAGGGACCCCGGGGTGTTCCCAGGCCAGCCGAGAGACATAGTCCCTCCAGCGTGTCCTGGGTCTTCCCTGGGGCCTCCTCCTGGTGGGACATGCCCAGAACACCTCCCGAGGAAGGCACCCAGGAGGCATCTGGAACAGATGCCCGAGCCACCTCAACTGGCTCCTCTTGACGTGGAGCTTCTCCCGTCTGACTGAGCTCCTCACCCTATCTCTATCTATTAAGGGTGTGATACTAAAAGCCTTTGTTAAACCACTTCTTGTGCAAAGTGAATATGAAACACAAACATTTTAATCATCAAAACAGTGAAAATGTCAAATGTGTCGCATAAATGGGTTTCCTTCCTCTAAACAAGCAACAAAACTGTAGCTTTGTAATGAATTCAGTAAAATATAAAAAAAATACTCAATATATCAATACAACAGCCCACAATATCAATATTGTATTAGGCGATATGATATATCAATATTTCGATATTTTTGCACACCTATATATAAAAATAAACTGGACTGGACATTGACGGGACAGAAATATACCGTACCTTTCCTGAATAAGGTTTCCTGAATAAGGTACTTTAAAATGATCTTGAGCTGTATCAGAAAAAGTGTAAGAGCACATAGACTAGTATCCGGCCATGGACCACTGTGGAACCTACTTGGATGACGAAGGGATTACACAGATATAAGACCACATGGTAATATAAAAGACAGTATTAATGTTGAAGATTTAATGTTGAAAATGACATTCTATAGTCTAAAGAGTGTGTTTTATTTTCATAATGACATCGAGTCTATCCCTTTAGTATCGTGACAGCACTAGTGAGAAGTGCAGTATATCTGTTATTGTTCGTGAAAACATATAAGCCTCTATTGTGGGACATATAAAGCCTCTCTTAAATTGAAGATATTTTTGTCAATGAGGTCTGCTTTGTGCCCACTCAAAATTCTTGCTTGTTTTCACAAAATTATAAGTTTTTCAGGCCTAAAAATATTTTCTGAAATAACAATATTGTGTCGTACAACATACATTCATACGCAGACCATTCATTTCGCTGTTAGTTTCTTTAAAAATTTAATCCGCGCTCTTTTGTGGACTGTTTATTATTGGTGATTTTGTTAGTGAAGTTTTTGTGAAAGATGGGCTTCCTTTCTCATCATGTTCAGAAAAATAAATATTTCCACAGGGCCCTGAGTTGAGCTAACACAAGAATATTTCCAGATGCACTACTGGCTGATAGCGGAGGACACCATGGTATTATATCCAATACCATGACGTTAAATGATTTTATCTCAAAAAGGTGAGAAAAGTTACTGATACCAAAAAACATGCAGAAAACATCCTTGATTTATCAAAACTAGGGCTTTCAGATTAATCACTTCCTAATTGAAAAAAGTGGAATTTGGACCCAATTAGAAAATCACAAAGGCTGCAATTTTTTAATTATCGTAAAAATTGTATGATTCTGCAACTGCTAACCCTGTAGTTTAGATCTGTACAAACATGTTCAGAAATGTGATTCTTGTATTAGTTTGTCACTTCATATTTCATTGTCTCTGCCTCTGTCTCTTTGTCAATTCTTCTGGATGCGTTTAAAATGTGAACTATGAACAGAATCCTATTATTAAAACATAAATTGTAAATCTAATTGAAATCACACTGCTGCCAGAGAAACTGCAAATCAATATTTTCACAAATCATTCAGTCCAACTAGCCACTGCTCGACTGACTCTTACATTATACTCTCTTGGGGAAACAACAAAATAAACTCATTCACTACAGTCCCTGATAAAAGTCTTGTCGCTTATCCATTTTGTAGAAACAAAAGCTTATAACCTGACTTTAAATTAATCGATTGGTTTTAGAAATGTCTCATATGAAAGCTAAAACCCTCCCAAATTATGCTCAATATACTAAAATAAATTTGCTTCACTGAAGAAAGATTGATCATTTAATGAACACAGAAAGGTCAGATTTTGACAAGACAAAAGTCTTGTCGCCTTGTCATATGATGCACCCAATTCTAGATTACAGCCTCACCTGTGATCAGTTACTGATCAGTCAGTTAGTGTTTGTGTATAAAAAACCCCAGGAACCCCAGCCCTTCACATCAACTGCAACTTGACCTCTGACAACATGCCTAAGATCCACCCTGAGACCAAAGCGTTAATTATCAAGAGACTGAAGACCAGATCCACTGCTGAGGTGGTTGACACCTTCATTGTGTCTCAGCGTCAAGTACAAAGAATAAGAAAAAGATCTGAAATGACTGGAGATGTTTTTGACAAGCCCAGGTCTGGCAGACCCCGCAAGACAACTGCTCGGGAGGACCGTTTGTTGATTCGAAAATCCAAGGCCAGCCCCTTTTCCACTGCAGCAGACTCCACCAGGCCTGGTCACCTCAAGTCCCTGTGTCAACCTGAACAGTTTGTAGAATTCTGTCTCGAAATGGCCTCCATGGTCGAATCAGTGCACAGAAACCAGCACTAAACAAAAGGCAATTAAAAAACCGTGTGGCATCTGCCAAGGCCCACAGCCTGCTAAAAGGATGGACACTGGAAAAGTGGCAGAAGGTGGATTTCTCAGATGAATCCTCAGCTGAATTACATCACAGCCGCTGCAAATATTGCAGGAGACCTACTGGAGCCCGCATGGATCCAAGATTCACCCAGAAAACAGTTAAATTTGGTGGTGGAAAAATCATGTTCTGGGGATACATCCAGTATGGGGGTGTGCGAGACATTTGCAGGGTGGAAGGCAATATCAATAACCTAAAATATCAAGAAGTATTAACTACCTCTTACATTCCCA